TTGAACGGTAGCTTAGATGAATTATATTGCCTTCCTTGTGTTACTTTAAAGAATTTAATTATCCCTGAACCATTTACCTTTGTGATTTTGATTGGTTCCCTTTAAAGTTGACTCAACACAGATTTATCGTCCTTATACCTATCTCCTCTGTAATTGATTTGAGCCTAGTGCTAATTGTTTGTGTATTATTCTCACCAATGAGTGCCATGACGTATCAGAATGGGGAATGCTATATTACATGCAAACCCTTATTCCTGCTTTGACATGCTTGTGTAATCAATGGGTGGATTTGGCTGTTTTGTTGAAGAATTTTCCCTTGATGTATCCGATATTGGTTTTCTTCATTGCTTTTTAGACATTGGTTTTTCTTATGGGAAAGAAAGATGCTTATTGGACAATCATTTCTTTCAAGAAGAGGAGGAGAGGGAGAGAGAAGGGGCGGGGGAGGGGGGGGGGGTGGTGTGTGTGGTGGTGGAGTTTCTAAATCCATCAAGAATATCTTAGAAAACAGAAAATCATGGAGCAATGCAAGTTGGCCATTTTTTTTTTGGGGGTGGGGCAGTTTCTAAATTTTTCAAGAAAAAGTTTCCAAGTTCGGAGGAATTTGGTGTTGCTAAAACTAAACTGGATTAGTTGGTATGAAATCTTTCGTGGTGAAATCAAACCTTGTCGGTCCAACTTTTTGGTCTAAAGTATGTTACTTTGGGGTGATCTTGATTTCTCTTTCACATTGATGCCTTGTTACATTTTCTTTTACTTTCTAAATCCATCAAGTATATCTTAGAAAACAGAAAATCCTGGAGCAATGCAAATAGGACATTTGGATTACTAGAGAATATTCATATCTGTAGTTTAATTCACTTGTCCATTGTAGTGATCAAACCACACAAAAAAAAAGAAATCCCTTGTCCCTTGTGTTTTCTTAATCCTTAAAAGAAAAGGTTCTTCAAAGGCCTTGGAAAATACTGAAAAATATCATATTTGGCTTTTAGAAGGTTGCTTATGGACCCCTGAATGGTTTGGGATTTGGCTGGTTTTGGAGTTAACTCGTTTAGTCCCATGTTGCCCCGAAACGCTTTTTTTTTTGTTTTCAAATTCACGATATAGTTCTTAAATTAGCTCTCTATTATGAAAATATAGTATAAAATTGGACTTGGCTATGTCTTAGTAACTTTTACAAGTCATTTACGAAACCGTAGTGTCCCTTTCAGTTTTTTTTTTGGTAGTTTCAAAAGTCTTCATGTGTGAATGACAAAAGCAAGAGAAAAACTAGTCAAAAGTAATGCATGTAGACACTGTTTTTTAAGATACTGCTTTAGGTGCAGTGGCAAGATGTGTATATTTGTGTGTTTTGCTGATCTGGCCTATTCAGTTAACTACCACATTCCATGTCTTAGTGGATGGTAAAGTCTTTGAATTCTTTCAAATGGGCTCACCATGAGGTACCTCCCCTGTGACTTGTAGCTCATATTTTCTTAAGTTATTTGACTTCTGGAAGTCCTCAGTTCATTTTCAATGTTCTGAGCAATTTAATGTATTTTCCAACACCCAGTTGGAACTTTTGTTTTGCGATAGATTCGCCCCCATTGAGATGCATCCTTGGTAACTCTGCCCTTTGTACTGTGCATGTATTTGTTCCTATGTTTATGCGTTTACTTGATTTAAATCAACATTATCAATAAAAAGAAGTAAAATATTAACTAAAAGAATTATCCTATATTGCTGCTGATTAAAGATCAACTCAGATGGCATTCTTCATAGCACCCATTTGATATCTTGTGTAGTACTCCAGACCCACTCCCAATTTTCCAAAAAATTTACTGGATTTGTGCTTGCCTTATTGCATTGGGATTTGGGAGAACCTTTGCCCTCACTCTTTACATGAGTTGCTTCTGTAGCCTTCTCACGAATGTCCAGTAGATGACATTTGACATTTAACATGCTCCTCATCACTCTAGCCATGATGCCTCTGAAAATTTTGTTGTTGCTTTCCATCCTGAGCCCCAAATAGATAGCGAGAGGGGAACATCTCTACAAGGAGCTTAGCTCATTTTTATAGGGCACCAAAAGACCCTGCCATGATGAGTCACGAGATTTGCTCGCAACTTTGGAATTACCTGGTACATGCAAAGAGCTGAAGGAATTTGTCTAAGATTTCTAATACAAACTTGCCATGGACAAGCAGATATTCAACTGTCTTCGTCGATGCCGACACATCACCTGTGAGTTACTGAATTGAGATTTTCTATTCAATTGACCTAAACCTCTTCACTAAGTGCGAGCTTAAACAACTCTAAAAACCTAAACCAAAATAGCTCTTCTCCTGAACCCACTTATCCTTTAAGTAACCTAAAAGAATTTTCATCCCTCTGTACAGTAGTAAACAGACTTTCCTTAAAGATTTGATGTTGGGCATCCAAATATTGCTGCTTCTGTTCTTGCTTTGGTTATTAGAAAGAGGTTAAGGAGAACATTCTAGATGCTACTATAGCAGCATGATATCCTTAATATCGATAATTAATACTTGAACGTGAATAATCACATAACGGCATACCAAAATATGCTCATATCTTGTTCTTCCACATTTTGGCATATTCTTATGTTAATATTCTTGTTGATATAATTAGCTTCCAAAAGGGATGCTAATTCTTCTATGGAGCATGAATTTTCTGGGCTGCATGCACAGAGGGATCTTCTAGATAGATAATTCAGCATGACCTATACATGTTACACTATTACAGAAATAAAAGCATAGAAGTTGCAAATTCTGGATAAGCAAATAATGTCTAAGATTCTACAATCAACCACGTTGGATATTATCACTCAAAAATTGAGTTTTTTTATTTTGAACTATATGCTTAGTTGGGAAAAGGTTATGATGTTGATGATTTCGATCTATATGCATTTTTGTGCCTTTTTCATTTCAAAGCTTTATATCAAATTAAGCCATTTTCTAGATATGCAACTTATATACATCCTTCTCTCCCCTGCCAAAAAAAAAAAAAACAACCAACCCCAAAAATTCAGTGGTCAACCTATCCAGTAGATGATAAAAAAATCCAGTTGAAGTTCTGGTTGTCATCTTCATCACCTCCATCATTGTTTTCTCTCCTCTCCTGTTCGGCAACTAGATCACTTATTAAGATTACCTACAAAGAAGCTGGATTATATCAATGAAATCATATTCACATTCTATCTCATTCATAAGTTAATCTTGGCATCATTATCAAATACATGCCGTGAGGCATAGTACATTTGCAGCTTGGCTCTAGGGGTCTATCTCTTTTCCATGTTTGTCTAAGCCTTTAGTTTCTTTTTTCCTTTTTTTTTGTAGGTTGGTTTATTTGCTTTTAGGTGTTCTCTGCAGCAAATTGTGGGTTCTTCAAAATGTTTTGCTAATTAATCATTGTGTTGTTATAGTTCTTCAATGCATGACTGGTGCCTTATATATGCTTTCATATTGATGTAATTGGGTTGAGATTTGGGTTATTGTTTCTGATGAATGTGATTTGTGTAGTTGTGAATCATTGCCAGTCCCATGTCTCACACTGCCATCAGTTATTTAGGGTGAATAGTAGTTAAACCCCATCTTAGCAGACAGTTATAGGCCAGTCACATTACTCATCTAGGGGGAGCAGTCAGTAAATTCTGAAAGGTTCCAAGGGATTGTGAAAAAATGTAGCACTAGAAATAGCATAAATTTGAAATGTTGCTTGGTACTGACCTTCCCCGCCAAAAAAACAAAACAGAAAAAGAGAAAAATCCGAAAAAAGAAAAGAAAAGAGTGATAACATCATACGGTGAAGAGTAATCTATTGATGCATTGAATGCATGTAGCTGATTGTTTTTGTCTTTTTGTTTTTTTTGTCTTCAATTTATTTATCGATAATGATTATTTCTTAACAAAGTAGTACCCCTTGAAATGACTCTTTTTCCGAAGCTACTATTCTTCAAGTTGTTTAGATTACTTCTCTTAAATGGTCTGCACTTTTTCTTCAATTCTGTGCATTATTATTATTTTTTTCTTTCTTTGGGTCCCATTTGAATGGATCAAATTTTGCGAAAATGGATTTTATTTCATCCACTTAGGAGTGGAAAATGACCCATTTTTAGACATTCCACTATTCGTGGGTGAGGTTGACCCTGCTTGTCAACAAGATGCTGCCCAAACATTTCATGACCCTGAAAAAAGAAAACTGGCCTCCCTTTTTTTCTCAAGTGGGAAAGCTACTCATCTCCACAGTTCCTGATTAAGTGCAGACCGTGATCTTAGTTATGAGTATGCAATAGTGTACTCATTTAGTGTAGTACAGACGGTGATCTTAGTGTGGTACACTGCGCCTTATAAATAACTCCCTCCCTTGTTTGTCTGTCCAAATAGGGCCTTAGTTATTTTTTATACTTGGCATTTAAATAATGAATAAACCATCATACTCAACCTTTTGATCACAAAATTGTTCCCAAACACAAATGCTCTACTTTTTACTCAATGCCCTGTATTGGCCTGACAGTTCTGAAAAGTCATTCACTTGCCTGTGCGCATACTGAGAGGAGACCTGAATTGGCTGTATTGTGTCTTATTTGACATGGTGATTCTCCAGGGCAGAATGGGCATATAACTAGTTCACCTGATCATTTGGAAATGAGTCTTCTTCCACAATCATGTTCTTGTTTTTGGTTTGTTTTTCTAAAAAGAGCTCTCTTTTTTTTTGGTTCATCCATTTTGTTTTCCTTTGTTCATCCATATTACTATGATTCTGTGACAATTTGAAATCATGGATATGATATGTTGTAAATTTACACCCTATATGGCTCTATAAATACCCTTATGGGAAACATTGTTTGGGACAATTTTTTATTGTTTTAAATTCTCTGTAGTGTCATTGCAAGCTATCTTTTTTTATATGTGTCTTTTTATAAAATGAATTGTTGCTTCTGTAATATTTCAACCTGCAACTTGCTGTTATACAACATGTTAACTTCTTGTTTTACTCATGCAGTAACCTTGCTCTTGCTTCTATTTATTGTCAATGGCTGACGGTCATGAAACTGATAAGAACATCGAGATATGGAAGATAAAGAAACTCATCAAGGCCTTGGAGGCTGCAAGGGGCAATGGCACGAGCATGATCTCTCTTATCATGCCTCCTCGTGATCAAATCTCAAGAGTTACAAAGATGCTTGGTGATGAGTTTGGTACTGCCTCTAACATCAAATCTAGGGTTAACAGGCAATCTGTTCTTGGTGCCATTACCTCGGCCCAACAAAGGCTTAAGCTGTACAACAAAGTCCCCCCTAATGGGCTGGTTTTATATACAGGGACTATAGTTACTGAAGATGGGAAAGAGAAGAAAGTGACAATAGACTTTGAGCCCTTCAAACCTATTAACGCCTCTTTGTACCTTTGTGACAACAAGTTCCATACTGAGGCCTTAAATGAGCTCTTGGAGTCCGATGACAAGTTTGGCTTCATTGTCATGGATGGTAATGGCACGTTGTTTGGCACTCTTAGTGGAAACACCCGAGAAGTTCTCCATAAGTTCACAGTGGACCTTCCTAAGAAACATGGAAGAGGAGGGCAGTCAGCCTTGCGATTTGCTAGGCTTCGAATGGAGAAACGTCATAATTATGTTAGGAAAACTGCTGAGCTTGCAACCCAATTCTTCATAAACCCAGCCACAAGCCAGCCCAATGTAGCGGGTCTGATCCTTGCAGGGTCTGCTGACTTTAAAACCGAGCTTAGCCAATCCGATATGTTTGATCCCCGCCTCCAAGCCAAGATATTAAATGTGGTCGATGTTTCTTATGGTGGGGAAAATGGGTTTAACCAGGCCATTGAGCTCTCTTCTGAGATCCTCTCGAATGTGAAGTTTATCCAGGAGAAGAAGCTCATAGGCAAGTATTTTGAAGAGATAAGCCAAGATACAGGAAAATACGTTTTTGGTGTTGAAGATACATTGAAGGCTTTGGAGATGGGTGCTGTAGAAACCCTAATTGTGTGGGAGAATTTGGACATTAACAGGTACTTGTTGAAGAATAGTGTTACAGGGGAGATAGTTATAAAGCATTTGGCCAAGGAACAAGAGGCTGATCAAAACAATTTTAGGGACCAGGCTAATTCAGCAGAATTGGAGGTTCAGGAGAAGATTTCACTATTGGAATGGTTTGCTAATGAGTATAAAAAGTTTGGGTGTACTTTGGAGTTTGTGACCAATAAGTCTCAAGAGGGATCACAGTTTTGTAGAGGTTTTGGTGGTATCGGTGGTATTCTTCGATACCAGCTCGATATGAGGTCCTTTGACGAGCTCTCAGATGAAGGTGAGATTGACGATGACTCGGAATAGCAATCATCTGATTTGCTGGTGCGACGGTCACCGGCGTTTCACCATGCCGCCGGTGGCATCATAATGCATGAAACGTCTTCAAAACATATGGTATGCTTTCTCGCTCTCATATGTATGCTCTGTGTATGTGTGTGTGTGTGTGTGTGTGAGGCATGTTCTTTAGCATTCACGCTAGCAACTCCGATTTCTTTGAGCGCTCTCTCTCTCTCACTCAAAATATGAGGCAGGCATGAGGTGTGTATCCCCCCTGTGATAGATGGTCACGTGCTCCCCCTCCCCCATCTTGTATGGGTGCGCATCTGCTTGTGTATGTGTGAGCGTGCATTTGTGCATCTATTTGGAATTTAATATTGTGAAATTATTATTTTATTCTTATGTGGATATGTTTCAATTTATCAATGTATTTTTTTTCCAAGAGAATCATGTAAGTGGAGATTTACTGATTTGGAGATGCAATAGGTGAAGAACAGAAGTTGGGATTGAGGTCTTGACTAGAATCATTTCAATTAGCGACCCAAGTTCCATCTTTGTCATGGCATATATTAAGGAAGCTAAAATTTGTGAAGAATTTGTCTCTGATTGTTCTTTCCGCCTCTTTATGTGCAATTCCAAATGGTTTATTGGTTCACGACCGCAAGACCTAGATGTTTATTCGTCCCCTCCACCCTTATTTCATGTACTTTTTGTTTACTTGTTGGCTCAGATGTGTTTTGTGTTTGATATGATCTTGGAATATCTATTTGAGTTTGTTGGTTTGGTGCCTGTGTAGGTGAATATCGTTGGTGGTTTCGGAAACATGATCGAAAGTGTGGGAGCTAATTTTAGAGATCTTGGTGTTGGCCGTTTTGATGCATAGCTTGACTATATTTGGCAGATGACACAATGTGCGCTATTTGTCGATGGTGCAAGAAGCTTGATTATACTTATTCAGGTTTTCTAAGATCTAGGGTTGAAGTCCTTGACATTCCATATACAGTATTAAGATCTAGGGTTGAAGTCCTTGACATTCCATATACAGTATTATGGCATGTGTGTGTCATGGAGTTGAGATGAAGATTTTGCTTAGAGTTTTACTTTGACGTTTGGTGCGCTCTCTCTCGCTGTCGCACACACAGTTTAGATGGTTGCTGCTCTTACACTTGGAGGGTCGTATCTTAGTAACGTTGGCTAATTTCTCTGGAACATATGATTCAAGAGTGCGAGGTAGTGTACCGTTTTGAATAAAGTAGAGTAAATTGCAAGAATGTGGGGTAATATCCAATTTTCATTAATGTTAGTTGAAGATTTATCAGTGTTTGATGTGGGGTATGAACACTTTTGGTTTTGCTCATGTTTTCTCTTATTTTATGTAGTAATACACTAGAATGTGGGAGTGGTATACCTGTGCCCTGATGATTTTGAATGATGACTGTTGTGTGTTGTGACATATTGTGCATTGCGAACATTGTGTTCGAGCATTATTTCTTTTTGGGAATGGCCTTTAGGCATGGGTGGTCAGGGTGGTGGGTTGCCACAATGTGACGTCTAGAGTTTGTTCTTACCACTGAACTCCAAAAAGAAAGAAACACTTTTTTTGTCCGAATGTGAGTGCTCATGCATTCCGCACTTTCGCTATGGGAAAAAGAAAAACATTCTATGTTGGAATGTGAGTGCTTGTGCATTCCTCACACTCTCTTAGTGTGCTCTCTGAAAGATTGTGAGGTAGCATATTTGTGCTTGGGATAAAGGGGTACATATGGCGGACAGTCAACATTATATTTGGGTGCTCTTTCTTTTTGGAATGTGGTGGTAGGGTTTTCTTCTCACGATTGATATGTGTGAAAATACTCACTTCTTATATGAGCATTTTTATATGAAAAAATTCTTCTGTATGATTAGGTTTGGGACTTATACTAATTGGCTGTCAATTAGTGTGAACAAAATGCATTGGGAGCAATTGGTATGATAATATTTGCACACTCATACAAGGCAGTTTTTTTGTGTGAACATACTTTTAGAAAGTGTTTTCATGTGTCAGCTTTGAGCTTTTATATTTACTTTTAATCAAGTGATGAGTTAGCAAGCTTATGCAATTGATTAAGGAATGAGTATTGGCACTCCTATGCTATTTAATGTTTGACATCAGTGTATTAAAATTTGGATTGGTGGGGGTGGATCGATCACTCCATAAATACGAGTAGGATGTTGGATTGATTCTGTCTGAATTAGTGATCTAGAAAGATACGAAAATATGAATAAATAGAAAAAATAAAAAAAAAACATGGTTTAGGATGGGGATTTAGGGGAGAGAAAATATTAGATATGTTTAAAAAAAAGGAAAAAAATATATGAAGGGAGATTTTACGGGGCAAATTGGGTAGGGATCCATACCATCCTAAGATGTGGTTTGGTTTCAACCGAGTTCCAATTCCAATTGACGATTCAGATTGGGAATCATTGGATATTTTATTGAATTGGGAATCATTGGATATTTTATTTTAAAATACTGTTGGATGGTATTGCGAATGGATGTTGGGTTGTGAGGAACCCTGTTTGAAAATTTGTGGAAATTTTAGTGATTAATATGGTTGGTTTGGCGATCTAAAATGGAATGCTCTTGATGAGTGGGATGTCTATTTTTCTTTTTGTATTTATGTTCAATGGTTCAATAGCTACCGCCCTTTCATATCTGCTGGCTTGCGATGTTTTTAATATTTTGGGATAAAAGTGAAATGAGTAATCCAGCTTGGGACCCAAGTATCACTAGACGATTATTAGTAAAGAAAATATTTTGATTTTGAATTCTTGAACATTTGGATCTTTTCCTCCAAAAGTTCAAGTCTAAATATTGAGTAGTTCATGTGCAATCTTCGATGTTACCTTTTTTTAGACATGAAGAAAATGAGATTTATTTTTATTTTTTTATCCTGAGGTTGGTCCTTGTGCTCCAAAAGATTACATCCCAACATTTGGGATCTAAAAAATATTGCTACCATTAGTTTTGCCCGAGTGAGTAGATGGACAATATACTTCCACTGGTTAATACTATTGTGAGTTTCTTTAGTTTTATGAAAGGATTTTTCTTTGAGGCAAGAACATTTTGGAAATATCATGCAAACAAAAAGGAAAAATGGTTTATGAATTTAGGTAGTAGATCATTTACATATGAATGAGCTAAAGTTGATTGACAATAGAGAAGAAAGCAATACACAACAATGGGAACATTGGTGCTCTTTGCTTGGGGGAACTTGATTTATTAAAAAGAATCTAAACAAAAAAAACATGGAAACACCATTACAGCAACACACGAACACAGATTTTATGACCATGGTCATGGAAGGGGAGAATAGAGTATGTATGGACGCATACTATGGAGCACGACAGTCTCCATGTTGAGCTTGGGCTCGAAGCAAATATGGTAAAAAAACAATAATAAAAGGGATTATTTAGAAAGAGACTATTTACTTTTTGTACATGGAAGTTATAATCATTTCCACTTATTTGATATCAAATTGAGTGGTTTGGGGTGAGTCACAAAGTGTGAGAATTTTTTGTTTTTTGGAACTTTGTATCTTACTCAATGACTCTCTTACAATCCCTTATTTTAAAATTTAAGGGAAATAATGAACAATAATGATTATGATATCCACGTACAAAAAATAATTGATCTCCCATAATAAAATCCACAATACCGGATAAATATCAACATTAATAAGTCTAAACTTCAACAATACAACCTAGAATCAAAATATCCAAAAATGAATCATGTACGGACATTTGAAAGCGAATGGACAATTCTCATTTGAATATTCTTTTGCTAGAGCATTCTCCAATGGGATCATAATATAAAAGGTTTTTTTTTTTAGTTCAAGTTTTGGGATTATTTAAGTATCACTAGATGAATATCATCAAAGAAAAATGTTAAGATTTTTATTTCTTGAACGTCCAGATTTTTCTCTCCATCATCATCTTCAAAGCATTTTTCCAACTAATTGGCTATAGATTTTTCCCTCTAAATATGACAAATATTGGATTGGGATGTCACTTTCTCTAGACCGGTAGAGAGTGAGATTTAAACTTGTTATCTTTGAGATTGGCCCATGAGTTAGAGATTACATCCTCAGAATTTGGAATCCAAAGAAAAATTGCTAGCATTAGTTTCACCCGAGGGCGTAAATGAGCAGCACACCGCTGGAGCGGGAAATCTTTTGGTACAAGTAAAATCGACAAGACATTGTTCTGTTCCTTTTGGATACGGTTTCTATGAATATGGAGTCATATGCAGAAACGCAAACCCCTTAATAATCAATTTTTGAAATAAAATTTGACAGTGATTTTTAAGAAATATACAGTCTCCCCAACATGGAGATCATTAATATGTAAAAAAAAAAAAAATTAAAAAAAAAGATATTTTTTAGTTGAAAAATATTTGAGCAAATGTAGAAATGCGTCCCTCGACACATAAACTGCTTTTCCTTAACTTTTTGGGTGCATTTTGTACGAGGCTGAGGCCCTAAAAAGTCAAAATAAGGCACACCTTAACATTATGTTGAACGATATCGTTTCAGTATGGAAAATATTTGTGACGGTCTGAAAAGTTATTTTCATTTTGAGTTATAAATTTAAAGCTTTAAAAATAGCATAGATTGAGTAGATCTATAAAAATTTGAAAATCTTCAAAATTGATGGTCCAAAATTTTTTCAAGATGTCAAATCTATTTTTTCTCATGTCCATGCATCTTGAGGTCAAGATGATCAATTTGAAGATTTTGAAGCATCGAAACAACCTCTTCTAGTGAATTTTTGAGATGCACTTTAATTTGATTGTTTAGGGCTTCATGTTTATATAAATTTTTTTTTCTTTTATAGATATAAAATTTTATGGGATTGTATTATCTGCTGCCATTTATTTACATTACAAAGTGGCCACAAGTACTCTTAAGTATTAAATGTCAAATTAGATGGCTTGAGATAAATCAAAATATTCAATTATTATTATTATTATTTTCGTTAAATTCTAATTTCAAATTTGAAGGGCAGGTCTCTGACCCTCGACGCTACAAATTTCTGTCTTTTACACTTCTATTCCCTCTCTCTTTCTCATTATCAGTTTCTGTGCCTGCCCCATCCAGTCTCTCTTGAGACTCTTACTCTCCCTACTCTGTGTCTCTATCATTTCTCCAGTTTCTTTGTCCTTTCATATCCATGCTCTCATTTATGAGAAAACCCACATTTCGTCTCCTTTCTCTCTCCCTTCCCTTCCTAACCTCCTCTTTCTCTTCTTGTCGCCGAAAGAACTGTTTTTCCCCATTCAGTTTGCAACCCCCAAAACCAAAGAAGCTCCCTTCTTCTGTAACTGCACATGGCCTCTCTTGGGTCGATCCCTACCGTTGGATGTCTAACCTAGACGATCCTGATCTACCCACCTACCTGCAAGAGGAAAACAATTACGCAGAGGCGTTCATGGCTGATACGGAGCATATTCAGCGAGAACTAGTTGCGGAGATGAAGGAAAGAATGCCTTCCAGTGTATTCACCCCACCTGAGAAATGGGGTCCGTGGTTAGTGAACTTCAAGCTTTCTTATATGGTTATGGCTTTCATATTTGTTTGCATTTGTGTTTTTTTAATGCATACTAATTTTCTACTGCTTTGTGCGAAACTGGGGCAAAGCATTTGCCTTTATTTCCCGGTTTGTAATTTTGTACTGCTTTTTGTGAAACTGGGGCAAAGCATTTGCCTTTATTGCTGGTTTGTTTGTTTTCTAATTATTGTTTTGATTGGAGTATTTCTGGATTAGTTATTGAATTTATGTTATGTTCACTTTCAAAATGATTTAATTCTTTAGTTGTTTACCAATGAAACAAAGGGGAAGTTTTATAGAACAAGACCAACTATGCTTTATGCGACGGAATGTTTGGCGGTCAAGAAACAACATATTTATAGGATGTGTAATTGAGAAGATGGATGAGTGGCAAGATAAGTAAGGATATAATTCATAACCAATACATAAGAGAAAACTTAAGGGTGGCTTCAATAGGCGATAAGATAAGGGAAAGTAGACTTAGGTAGGCATATGCAATGTAGACCTAATATTAACCGATTAGAGGACGGAAAGTAGACTTTGGTAGGCTGGCCATATGCAGTGTAGACTTAATATAACTCTGATTAAGAGGAACGAATTAGTTTAAGTGGAAGGTTGTAAAAGGCACTGCTTCAAAAAGCGGGTTGCCCAGCGTCTGGGTGGCCGCCTTGGCGGATATCCCTGGGCGCCCACCTGAACTCGCCTAGGCGGCTGTCCAGGGTCTGCGCCCCAACCAGGGGTCGAAATGCGGCTCCTTGAGGGTATTTTTGGATCATTTTCTTAATACTAAAAGAGCAAAATTGTGGGCTTTAGTTTCGTTTGAAACCTACAAAAAAAATTATTTTTTTGGCTGGGCTGCCCAAGTTCTGGGCGACCGCCTAGAAGCTGGGAGGCCTGGACTCCCCGATCGCTTAGGTGCCGCCTAGCACTTTTTAAAATGCTGATAAAAAGACAAGGAGAAGGCCCAAAAGGACATGAATGAGAGTAATGAGAAGAGATATGGTGTCTTATGGTCTAACCGAGGGCATGACCTTTGATATAGCATAATGGGATGATGATGATGATGATGATGATGATGATGATGATGATGACGATGATGATGATGATGATGATGATGATGATGATGATGATGATGATGATGACTATTACTATTTACTTATTTGGTTCATGATTAAATTAGCATTTTCAGATTTGGTTTATTGTTGTTTCTTACATAACTAAGAATTCATAAGTTTTATTTCTGTCTCAGAAATGTTAGGATCTCTTGGTAGGGATAGATGTCTTTAAGAGAGGTTGATGTCGATTGTCGTCTTTCGTGAACGAGAACGGGTTTTAGGAATTTTGCATTTATTTCTTGCATCATATTGCATTTATAATTGTAAAGACTCTGATTGTGATTTGTGGAGTTTGTGCCTGATTGAAGTGATCTCATCTGTTGTCTTATGCTACACTGGAGTTGTGTTCTTAATGGATATGTTACATGTATCTCTCTAAAGTTTAGTTTTTGTTTAATGCTTTTTTAAGCATCATACATTCTCACATTTGAGGAAAAAAAATGAATCCTTCCTTTCTTATATACCTTTTACTTAGAAAGCTGTGGATCCCGTTGGCTACATTGTTTTGTGATTCGCAACGGTACATCACAATGCTAGATTTTTGTTAGAAAGAAACATAATATAAAATTTGTTAATTTTACTTTATAAAAGAGAGTGTTCATTCTTGAAGATTATTACAGTGTTGCTGGTCCAGTAATATTTATTTGTCAATTATATGTTTTTTTTTTTTATTTACACAGGTTATATTATCAAACTATTCCCAAAGGAAAAGAATATCCAGTCCTGTGCAGGAGAATTGGGACCAATGATACTCTCATGGAAAGAATCGTTGGGTACATGGGGGGGAATAGGGAGGAAGATGTATTGCTCGATTGGAATAAAATTGCCGAACAATTTGGCATGGTCCTAAGTTCTTACTTTCTGCATTGTGCTTTGAATTTGTGGTTAGCCTATCAAACATTAACTCAGTTCTATAAGTTAATTAATGTTCCATGCATTTTTTTCTAATCTCTGTAACTCCTCTAAGATTTTATTTGTTTAAATGTTGATTGGTATTTCTGATGTTGCTTTCTAGTTAGAGGTTCATAGATACTCAAGTGATCAGCTATACATGTTGCAGTCATCTTGTTTCTTTTTGGTGACTTGATTATTTTTTTTTAAATTACTATAAATCAGGCAAAGGGATTTATGAGTTATTCTCTCCATTGAACATTCAAAGGTCAGTCAAACTCACTGAAATTACCCCACATGGCATAGAGGATACCCCATAGTACATGTTTGCGGAATAATTTGTATTGGTAGTCTACACTTTCACCTTTCAAAATCATTTTAAGTTTTCATCTTGAGGGTTAAGGACAAGCAATTTGTTTGCGGCCCTTAAGATCACATAAAAATTAGTTTCAGTTATGGTCATACAGAAATTTGCTGATATTCAACAGCTCACAAAATAGTGATCAACATTTTAAAGTTTGCTCGCTTTGTATGATGTGCTCGAGTTGAGTAGCAGATACAACTGCCTAAAGGAAAAGGAACTATGATTTGTTGAACACTCTATATGGAAAGTTAACCTTGTAAAAGAAAATGATTATCTGTAACCTTAAGTCGAAATGATAAGGGTGTTAAGATATAAGCATGAGCGAATTAAGCATATTTTAATTTGAAGAAATAAATAATAACCTAAACTAGGGGTTGTCATTTGGTGTGATGGTAAAAGGCTCGGGTAGCTAGCACAAGAGCAGGTCCTGAGAGTGGCCACTTTGCGCATAAAAAATGTCAAAGGTTAGGACCTTTTCCAGCTCACCCCTCCAGGGACCCTGCGTAGGCAGGACCAACACTGGTTATGGCCTTTAAATAATAACCTACACTAGCCACTATTAAAGCTATTGACTTAGACTGAACTAATGAAGCAACTTGCTGGGCTGCCCTCAAGACCAGCTGATCACTTGAGAAGAAGGGTGTACTCTTGCAGAGGGACCCGGAATCCTCAAGTCTCTAAGCTTTTAGAGTACCTTGAACAAATATCTTCAAATTTCTTTCAAGTTTCCTTATGATTTTTTGGTCTCTGGGAGTTGAATTCTTTTGAGCCATGCTATAATTTTTACATGGGGATACGGCCATCTGTTTTAGTTAATCATAGTCTCTATTGCACACTAAACAGATGAAATGAGGGAGCTTGATCTTTGAAGGGAAGACTATGGAGTTGAATAAATGTGTTAACTGGTTACATTTGAATCATTGGTCATTGAGATTTGGAAATCTTTGAACTAGGGATCTTTTATTCTGCTTGAGAATGACTCATTCAGAAAAATTCTCTTCTGACACCCAAGTGAAAACAAATCTGTGCTACTATTTGTTGCCTTAGAGCTCTTTTTGTTTTCACAATTGTTGAGTTTATTTGGGCCATTAGCAGAAAGGTCATTTTCTTGTTTTTCTGTTTGTATTGAAATTGTGGGTTTCACAGTTTCACTAGATTTGCATTGAATGCAGGCTATGTTCATATAGGCACATGCCAGGTTTCTCCTGATCACCGGTACCTTGCATATACACTAGATATGACTGGTCAAGAACTTTTTATGCTTCAGATAAAAGATCTAGAGACAGGCTGCCTCATTTCAAACTCTTTTGTTAGAGGTGTTGTCAGTTTGGCATGGGCCAAAGACAGCAGGACTTTGCTTTATACAGTTGTTGATGAGACCCAACGGCCTCACAGGTGACTCGCTGTGCTGTTTCATTTGTATAATTTTCCTTATATGAAAGCTTATGTAATTAATCTCTTTGTTTGTTTTCTTAGCTAGAGAAGGAACGTTTTATTCTTATTGTTGTAGTTGTTGGGCAGAGTATTTAGCCGAAGTTTGGGATCTGATGACACAGATTGTTTAATATATGAGGAAAGTGATTTAAGCTGCTCTGTTGACATTACCAGTACAAAAGATGGAAAGTTCATAACTGTGAACTCTAACTCAAGGGCATCATCTGAGGAAGGTTACTAACCGAGATTTATTGTTCTTTTAGCCGTCTTTAAGTGATGCAACAATATGTTTGTCCTTCTCTCTCTCTCTCTCTCTCTCTCTCTCTCTCTTCCTTTTTCATTTTTTGGGTGTGTGTTTGTGTGTGTTCTTTTTTTTTTTGGTGGGGAATGGAGTGGAGGGATGTACAATATCAGGGCAGCATCTACTGGCATAGATCATGCAGGTGGGTGGGCTAGAAACTTGAAAAACCTGTTCATATAAATTTTTTTGAGTGACTATTTTGGCCTGATTTGGTGCTAAAAATACAAAGGAAGACAGGCAAAAGGGTAAGATAACAAGATGAAAGTAGTCATTGTAGAAAAGGAATTGATGGATCCAGATGTGTTGATATTTCAAATTTGTGGTCCATGATCTCTGTGGGTGTTTTTGAGTACTGTCCTCATATTCTCCATTTTTTTATCAATATTATTTGCCTCTATTTCCTGAATCGATGTTCTGATGGCTACATCTCCTGTTACAGGTTTATTTGCTTGATTCAAGCAACCTGAAAGATGGTCTGCAACTTGTGTGGAAACGTGCTTCTGGTGTACAATATTTTCTGGAACACCATTATGGATATTTCTACATTCTTACAAACTCTCCTTTAGGCTGCTCTCAATTTGTTGCGGAAGGTTATCATTTAGCTAGATGCCAAGCTGAAACTTTACGCTCTGGGGAATGGCAGGTCAATTTTTATTGCTTTAAGAACTTTGCCACTGATTCGATATAAGGGATTTAGGTGTCCTAAATGCATCTCAAATGCCGACCATAATTGTAATCAATCTCATCATAGAAGAAGCATGATCTTCAGCGTCCACTCTAGAGACTCCAATTTCTTTAAGCTCTCTCTGTCTCTCTCGCTCTCTCTCTCTCTAGGAGGGGTTCTTAACAAAAAAATTTTCTTAGGAAATTTATAATGCAAGTGACTCGACTACATGATCTTATTGTTTTCTCTATTATCTTTCCTTTAAGGCTCATTTTGCATTGCAGTGGATGTCCACTACTTTTCTGCTTCATAGCAGTGAGCTTATTTCCCCTGGAAAGTCTCATTTCCATGAATCTCTCCACTATTTAGTGGAGAAGATAAACATTGAGAATCAAGATTGTGAATGGTTTTTCTAATTCTGATTTAAGTCAAAGTTACTACTCCTTTATCAATTTCTAACAACTTAAAGAATTAATAAATGAAACCTATTTTGGATTGGTTCATGAGTGTGTCGCTTTGTGGGATTTGTCCAAGATTTGCCATATGACTTTTAAAGAGTTGATATGACTCTTATACTTTTTTTATTGTATTTGATGACTAGGCTAACTGTTTGTTGGAATTCTACAGTGCATACATAATATGTGGTGACCTTGATGCGTTTTTCCTTGTGGAAAAATCATGTGCTGTTTGGTCTTTTTCTTTCTTACAACATCTATGTTTTCTAGCTCAAATATTCTCTCTCAATTCTGTTTATTTGCTAAAAGAAGCTGCGGTTAATACGTTTGTAAGATGTATGATGTGCTTAGTGGAAAATTCTTTTGTTCAACTCAGCATTCTTCTTCTTCTTCTTTTTCCTGTTTTCCCAGAATATTATTCAAGCTGGTCAAGGTGTTGAGATTCAGGATATGGACATATTTGATGGACATTTGGTGCTTTTTCTTCATAGAGGTGGAATCCCCAAGATTTGTTCTATAAAAATGCCACTGGAGTTTCCTTTAAAGGTATGGCAATAAGTTTTCAATTTTATGTTTTACGTTTTGTTGCAGTAGAATTTTCTTTCAGGTGTGGCACGTGTCCTTACTTCCTCTTTATCTTTTATTTTTGATAAGTATTCATGCATTGTCTTCATGAACTTTTAACTCAGCAAAGGATAATGTAATCATTTGCATGTTCAATTTTAGGAACAATATATGTTCCTGATTAGGAGTATATGGGAGGTTCTTACTATTTAGGTTTTTTTTATTCAGGCCATGGACGAGTAATGTATCTGAAGAGTATATAGTTTTGTAACATATCCACATATCCATATGATTATTATGTATGTAGTCCAGAAACAGCAGAGGAGATTCTGAGAACTCTATGGCGTTAATACCATCACTTTGTAGTTCAAGAACAACAACATGGTTTGTGAAACTATGTTTTTATTCACTGATTAATGTGATTATTGGGTGAAACTCAGGTTATAATGTCTAGGCAAGCAGAAGGATATTAGGTGTACCATGGATGAAGATGACAAACATCCAAGTATTTATAAAAAGCAATTGTACAAATTTCTCGGTGTTCTGTCTCTTTGAGACAGCACACTCAATTTTGGGATTGTGGAGCTGAAGCGCTTTTTTTATGCTCTGTATATGTTCATGCACATATGACTGATATGTTATTTATTCCATATTAATATAATACAGTCAATTTCATTAAAAAAAAAAGTTTTCTTGCATGCACTGAACTATTAAAATGACAACTGAAGCACAGAAGTAAAAGAAATGCTCCTTACACATTCACGAGAAAAAAGAAAATAAAAACAGTAGATAACAAATATGCATCATAGAATAAAACTGTGAATGCAAATTATATATCTTTAATATGTTGTACATAAAAGCATGGTGTACATTGAAATTACGGACGAGGGTAGCTTGCCTCACCGGTGGGCGTAGGATAGCTTGCCGGTGAAGGACGTGTATGTTTTTCCCTCCCATAATAGATGGAGTGGATGGTCATTTCACAGCAGTTGTGGTTATTCCGATGTCATCCCCCCATCCTCGTTAGCCGCTCAATCATCCGGAAGGGAACCAAGATATAATGCGAAAGAACAAGCGGGTAGTGATCGGGGGATCCATCCATCAAGTGAAAGAATGGATTGGATTGGTCGTTCAACTGTCTCTGATATTCTGTTCGACCAAAGATCCGACGGTTGAGTATTCAGGGTTCTTTCCTTGATTACAGCCAGCTGAACGGTTTTCTGTTCCCCTTCAACAAGATGTGATGCATAGGGGCGGACGAGTCAAAGAATGGAAGTCACACTCCAAGGAACGAGATATTAGCCTTGCGGATGTTGTTTATTTCTTAACTTCCCTGTAGAGCAAGCGAGCGATGAAGTGATACATTTAAAGTGCGATTTATATAAAATCTATATTTTATCTCTTGAATCATTTCTAATTAAAGGCTTTCGATTATATTGTCTTTATCTTTTGAGTTATGTTGGTCATTTCGATATTTGTAGCACGTGAACCATTATTGCTATGGAAGTCTTCCGTGATTTGTGATGCAGCACCCTATGGATATTGAGGATCTCAATCCGTGGTTCTTTCCATTGCCTTCAGACACAAGCAGTGTCGTTCCTGGTTCAAATCACGACTTCATGGACTCTACTTTTCGTGTGGTGATTTCATCTCCTGTGGTATGTGTTTAACATAAAAATCTGTTATATAGATAAACTGTTGTATGTTTACCACTTTGCATAGTCACAGTCCCTTTTGACTAGGTTTCATGCCATTTATGTGACACTGTATATTTTCCTGCTATGTCAGAATCATATGTATGAGTAAAATGACATGCTTAAAAGTATGCTCCATGTTTGGTGTCCCATAAAAATGCAGATGCCTGATGCAGTAGTTGACTATGACATGCTAAAGCAAGACTTCACAATTGTGCATCAAGAGAAAGTTCTGGGTATTGACTCTTTTGATGTTAATGAGAATGATACTGTAAAAGCACGCCATAACTGGAGTTATATCTCCCAATTATATTCCTGCGAAAGGAAAGAAGTTCTCTCCCTTGATGGTGTCCATGTTCCTCTGACCATTCTATACTCCAAAAAAGTGGAAATAAATGGTAAAAGCCCTGGAATTTTAATGGGTTATGGAGCTTACGGTGAAGTTCTGGAGAAGAACTGGTGTACTGATCGGATAAGTTTGCTAGATCGTGGTTGGGTGATAGCATTTGCTGATGTAAGGCAAGTCCAATTATGGTTCTTTTGTAGCATGGTTCATGCACCTTTCTTTTTCCTTTTGACGGACATGAGTATTAACTAGCAGAAACTACCCAATAAAATGTGTATTAGTTATTGATTCCTTGAAGTTTAATAGCGTAACAACTAGAGTTTCTATAATACAATTATTTTACTCATGACCCACTGAATCTGAACAACTGCTGTCTTGCTTGTTGCTTTAACTTCCTATAAGGATATTGTGAATGATAGTGCCAGCGATACACTTGTTTGCATCCAGTTCTTGTTCTCTTAAGATGGTTTTGATTTTTTTAGAGGGGGTGGAGGTCTAGGCATGTCATGGCATCATGATGGTGCTGGACCATATAAGCTGAAGTCAATTCTTGACTTTGTTGCTTGCGGAATGTACCTCGTCAATGAGGGATACATTAATAGGCATCGGCTTGGTGCTGTCGGGTTCAGTGCGGGTGGGCTTCTGGTGGGTGCGGCTATTAACCTGTATCCAGACTTGTTTTGTGCTGCCATTTTGAAGGTAAATGAGCAAATTGGTCCAATGTGGTTTAGTTGTTGAAGTTAAGTGTTCTGCTCTTCTTTTTGTTACCAAATTATTAGTTTTGGAATCAAACCAAACGACATAATTGATCGTTTGGTGTCTACATCCTCTGTTTTGATTTTCTGAAATCTTCCCATGCATTTGGCCTGCAAGTATATGGACCACAATATATTTATTTTTTAAATTTCACGGAAGCATGTTAGGGGATTTTCATAATAAGATGTTCTCCTTAATATCACAAAATTTTCCCTCAAATTTTCAATCTCAAAATTTTTAAAAAGAAATCTAAATTTACCAGATAAATGTAAATTCTAAACAAGAAATGAAGTTATAAATAATTATAAGAAAAAATTCAACTCTATCAATATCAATATACTAAGAGAAGTATCCTTCTCATTTTAGAATTCCTTACATCTTTTAATTTTTCTGAAGTATCCTTCTCTTTTTAGATTTTCCTTGCATCTTGTAAGTTTTCTTTTATTTAGTTTTCCCATAGATTGTTCAGAGAATGTGAGACAACCCAACTGCTGAATCTTTGTTGTTAGGGAAAGTACTATTTTTTAAAAGTTTAGCAAAAAGTTTATACTGGAAGAGGTTGTTTTGATGCTCAAATTGATCATCTTGACATCAAGATGCATGGACATAAGAAAAAATGGATTTGAAGTTTTGGAAATAGTGCATCTTGTAATGAATATTTGGACCGTCAATTTTCAAGATTTTGAAGTTTACATAGATCTGCTCAATCTAAACTATTTTTTAAGCTTTAAATTTTATAATTAAATATGAAAATATATTTTAAAGCTGTCACAAAAATTTCCAATATTGAAACCGAATTTCTCGACACTATTTGAAGGTATGTTTTACTTTGATTTTTTTAGAGCCTTGGCTCTATACAAATTGCACCCAAAGTTTATATAGAGCCGAGGCTCTAAACAATCAAATTAGAGCCCACCTCAAAAATTTCACTAGATGAGGTTGTTTTGATGCCCAAATATCCTCAAATTGATCATCTCAACATCAAGATGCCTGGACATGAGAAAAAAATGGATTTCAAGTTTTGAAAATAGTGCATCTTAAACGCACTTTTAGACTGTCAATTTTCAATATTTTCAAGTTTTCATAGATCTGCTCGATCTACCCTATTTTTGAAGCTTCAAATTTTATTATTAGAGATACAAATATATTTTAAGGCTATCACAAAGATTTCCAATATTGAAACCACATTTCTCGATACTATTTGAAGGTGAGCTTTACTTTGATTGTTTAGAGCCTTGAGTCTATACAAACTGCACCCTTTTTTAAAATGCAAACATGATTTCTGTCTGCAGGTTCCATTTCTTGACATATGCAACACATTGTTAAATCCATCTCTGCCGCTCACCACTTTGGACTATGAGGAGTTTGGTGATCCAACAATCCAAGCCCAATTCGAAATGATTTGTTGTTACTCTCCATATGATAACATTCAACAGGGAGTATGTTATCCTTCAATGCTGGTTACTTCATCTTTTAATGATTCAAGGTAAGTTATTCTCCCCCATTTGGGAGTTAATGAGAGCTTATCTGTTATTTCTTGCTCTTTTACCTCATTTGGGTCTCTTCATTCCTTACCTGACACACGCACGCATGTAAACAGAGTCATTCATATTTGAACTTAGCGAGAGAGGTGCTTTTATTTTCCATATTTTTCTATATTTGGTATTGGATTTGTGGTGTTTTTGCTTTCCAGGGTGGGTGTTTGGGAAGGAGCTAAATGGGTGGCTAGAGTGAGAGAAGAGACATGCAGAAGCTGCTCGAGTTCAGTCGTTTTGAGGACAAACATGGAAGGGGGCCATTTTGGCGAGGGAGGGAGGTACAAGCACTGTGAGGAAACGGCGTATGAATACGCTTTCTTAATCAAAATGATGAGCGAAATAGCCTGAAAATATATGGAAGTTTAGCAACAAGTAAAAGCTCTCTCTCTCTGCTGTTGCTGGTTGGTTTCTATGAAAGTTAATGAAAGGACTCTCTCTCTCTCTCTAGTTGCTGTTCAATTTCTTTCAAAATGAAATGACAGCCTTCCTCTCTCTCTCACAGTCTGCTTTATGGGATGCAGAGGAGAAAGAAAAAGAATGTAAGAATGATAGAGAAAAAAAAAAAATTCATTTATGATTTAACCAAAAAGCCCATGTGGTGTTGGTGTCTAGGAAGGTGATAGGGGCATTTTGGTTAGTTTGATAAGAAATGCATTTGAGACGACATTTATGCTTTTTGATGAGGTCGATGTCCCATGGTATCGTAACGTATCGTACCCTGGAAAGAAGCAAAATGTCTTGGCCTTTGTTTGTGGAGGCCATTGAAAATCCCCACTTTTCTCTTCTCTCTCTACATATGCAACATGTGGATTCCACTTTGATCCAGAGTGCGTGTGCACATCTCTCTCACTCTGATAAATTAATGGTGAGGTGCACCATTTTCTCTCCGATAGGTACGCGAAGTAGATTGTTGGTTAGTGCGCCGGTCCTTACCCTAAAAGCTGAACCATAATAAGAGATTAATGCGCTGGTCCTCATCCAACAAACACACACATACCTCTCTCTCTCTCTCTCTCTCTCTCTCTCTTCGAATGGGCCCGGAAGAGTAGGTCAGGAATAGTATCTGGCCATTCCCCTTAACTACCCACTCTCTCTAGAGCAGTGTTTAAATAAATGGATAGTGGGATCAATGTTTGCAAAATTGAACCGGAACGGTTAATCGGATATGGGTTTGGTTTAATCGGTCTAATTGCAAACTGGCCGATTCAACCGCTCTAACCGGAAAAGTCTTGGTGGTTAAAAAAAATGTTAAAAATACATAAAAAAAAAAATCTACTAAAATATGAAAAGCATATAAACATGTTTAAAATAAAACACATTCAAATGAAGTTGAAAATTAATGAAAAAATGGATTTTAACCGATTTTATATTTTTCAAAGGTTATTTTTAAAATTTTTTAGAAAAAATGAGAAAATATAATAAGTTAGTATTAATTACCAAAATAGTTTTTAATCTTTATCATAATGTAAAGAATATTTAAAAATACATTACAAATCAAATCTTGTTTTATAAGAATTTATATACATTTTTTGATTTTTTTTTTTTTAAAATACCGGTTGATCACCTTAACCGCCCAAAATTGGAACTGGCCGATTCTGGGCGATTTTGCGAACAATGCATGGGATAGACCGCCCTTGATGCTGATCTAGATCGGTTGGATCAGTGATCATGATTGTTCTTGGATTGTCCAAATATGTGATCCAAAATAATAATAATAATAAATGAAATAAAATAAGATTTTAATTAGATGTGTATGGGGTGGGGATTTAGGGGACCACAGACAATTAGATAAGCTTGAAAAAAGAAGAAAAAAAATCAAGAGGGGCGAAGGGAACCGGCCATATACCACTCTAGAACTCTTTTGGTACCAACCAATTCTGCATCGAGATGGCCAATCCAGATTGGAAATCTCTGAATTTTAAAACATCGCTCTAGAGATTCTCTCTAGAGGGGCTCCTATAGTCTCCTTCCACCAATCTCTCTCTAGGAACAATAGGTCAGAATTAGTCATCTCTCTCAAAGGAACAGCAGGTCAGACTGGGTCTCTCTTTCTCTCTCTACACATCTCCGGTTCTCGTCAACGGCCATGAAGAACATGTCAGACATTGATCCCAATTGTTCTCATAAGTACGTGGCAAAGTTCTGAAAAGAGCATCAAGAATCTATATGCATAAATCCAAAAGAAAATAAAAAAAATACAGAGAGAGAATCAATGACTCATTTCAAATACCCTTTCTATAATGCGCAATCACCTGCTCAAATGAAATTCATGTAACTCCTAATTAAAAAATAAAGAAAGTTTATGCAAGTGTGAGGTGCTAAAGAATCAAACTTAGGCGCACTTCAAAAATTTCACTAGAAGAGGCTGTTTTGATGCCCACAAATCCTTAAATTGATCTTCTTGACATCAAGATGCAAGGACATGCGGAAAAATAAATTTCAAATTTTAAAAATAGTGCATCTTGTAATGCATCTTTAGACTTTCAATTTTCAAGATTTTCAAGCATTCATAGATCTACTCGATCTAAACTATTTTTGAAGCTTTAAATTTTATAATTAGAGATAAAACTAGATTTTAAGGCCATCCCAGTATTGAAACAACATCTTTTGATACCATTTAAAGGTACTTCTTATTTTGATTGTTCAGAGCCTCAACCTTATACAAACCACACCCTTAAAAAATTGCTTGAACCTAATGTTTTTTTTTTAATAGGGTTTTGTTAGGCTTGATCGTGTATACCTTTAAAGTCTTCAATATTTTTGGACATGTAGATACCCTTGAATTGTGATACAAAATTTTTTAAGCACAAGTAGTTTTTGTCATTAAGATAGGTAGAATGAATATTTATGTAAAAAAATAATGGCACTCTATTAGTAGTTAAAAAAAATTAATGTATCTTGTGGGTGATGTCACATACCATGTCGGTGATGTCATTATCCATTATTTGTTAATAAATGCTTTCGTTTCTATTAGAAATTTCTACTTTACCTTTGACTAATTGCTTAAAAAGAAAAATTTGTGTAAGGTTACAACCTTAAAATGTAAAGCTACGGATGCGCCTCAAACATCCATCGGAAAAGATTGTTAATATTGAAAAATCATTTGATTGATCATCTTGATATCGAGATGTATGACTATGAAAAATAAGAAGTTTTTGAGTCTCATAAATAGTGCATCTTACAACATATTATCTAGACTGTCCATTTTCAAGATTTTCATATGTTTATAGATCTGCTTGATTTTAACCATTTTTGGAGTTTAAGATTTTATAATTAGATATAAAAATAGATTTTGAGATAATCTTAAAAATATTTTACATCAAAATTACATATTATTATAAAATTTGAAAGTGCGTCTTAATTGGATTGTTTAAAGTTGCAACCTTATGGAAACTACTCCCTTACTTAAAATACCCTTAGACAAAAAGTTACTAGGATAAAGGTATCTAAGTGTAAAAAACATATTGAAGAATTTAAAGGTATACGCACTAACAAAATTCTTTTTAATGGTATTGAATGGCGATGTCAAAATGCAACCCAAGCCTTGGAGTATTTACATCGTGGACCTTGCGCTACTTCTCGCAAATAAATTACAAATACATAGTACACACCACACATAATATATATCTACAGATTAATAAATAATAGTAAAAAGTACATAGAATATATAGCAAGGTACAACTAAAATGTATGTGGAAGCAATTATTTAGTAAAAGAAAGATTGTTATTGATCGACAACCAACTGATAGAATTAATGTAGTGGGTTCAAATTTATTTTTCTTTACAGCTAGATTAGGACACACGGCCTCCACAGTTTATAGCTAAATAATATTTGCTAAGGTGCATCAAATATATTTGGTGCCGGGGCTTAGTGGTGAGGGTGCGAGGTCTACGTCATCAAATTCTAGGGTTCTAATACTGGCTTACCTACCACCCACATCACCCCTGATAAGGTGTTCAAAAAGGTCCGAGCTCGGATCCGATTTGCCGGGTTTTCGAGTTGAAGTCCATTGTCGGGAATTTTTAACAAGTTTTAAAAATTTACTTCAAAAATAGAAGACTCGGGTGATTTTCGGATTGCAGTCTCTAGATCAGGTTTGCCTCAAGGAATCCTTTAATCGAACATGTGATATTTGAAACACTTAAAGAAAAAATAAAAAAATAAAAAAGGAAAAAAAACAACATTGGTCTTATATTGCAGCTACCCTCCCAAGTGAACACATATAGGGAAAAAAAAGAAACAGTAAGGGTTTGAACCTTTGACGTCCCACGCTCAAACTAAATTTAATAGATTTGTGATCTTGCTTCTATTGACGTGGTGCTCCCTATGGATATTACAACAATATGCTCCCAGGCGAGCATAGTTAATAAAGAAAATAATTTATGGAGTTGAAAATTTAAAGCACTAGGGATGGCAACAGGTCGGGTCCAAGTCGACTATCTTGTGCATGGACCTGGACCTGGCCTCGGCCTTGGGTCGCGTACTCTTGGTTGGGTACAAGCAACATTAACCTAGACCCAACGTGAACCTAGGTTGTGTCCGAGTCATCCGGACACACGACTTGCCGGATAACTATTTTTTTAATTTCAGGTCTAGAAATTTAAAAAATATATATATTTTATATAATATTCAATATATGTTTTTTTACATAGTTTATATGCTTATACTTGGATGGGTCGGATCGGGTCGACCACAACCAACTTGACCCCAACTCAAACCGATAGGGGTCCATACTAGACCCTACCCGGATTGGGACTACGTCATCTGTCCAACTCATTTGGACCCGGAACGACAAGCCAGCTCCAAAACATGGACCCAGACCGGGTCGACCTACCGTGTCACCCGATTGCCACCGCTAAAATCACAAACCCAGTGAATAATATTCGGGGTGTAAAGGTTGCAAAATTAATGTATAAGCTTTAAAGATCAGGTTTTGGTATGCGTTAAATGTATTTGTTGCCAATATTGAAGTATAGGAGACAAATAATAACGTAAATAGTTCACTACTTTTTCTCGCTTTTGACCTTTTTGGGAAAAATTGTTCTAAATTGTCAAGGAGGAGAATTCCACGTATTTGGTACTGTAAATGGGTATGGGAATGTAAATAATGAGGACGATTATCTTTATTAAAAAGATAATCAAATAATAAATTGGATAGCTTGAGATGGGTCATGAAATTCTACAAAAATTTTAGGCAATATATAAACATTATGCTGCATATGATTTATTGGCAATATAATTGGTCAAATAAAAAAGATTTCTTGGCAGTATATGAACGTTATGTTGCACATGACACACTCTAATCCATCAAATTTATCTTTATTATAAGGATGTCACAATTGCTATTGACCATTAGATGTTAAATTGCATATCTTGATGTGTGTGATAAAATTCGAAAATCTTTTTTTTTTTAATACTTGAATCGAGTTAATGATAGACTTATAACCACCCGATTCAAATATAATGTATAAGAGTGATTGTGACTTATATGTATTAAAAATAAATGATCATTTTTAATACTTACTCTATAGAAAAGATAAAATTGAATTGTAACGTATGTACGGTAAAAAATAGTATGATCAAGGTGGTAGGATGATCCATCGCTTTAAAGACATCTTTTCGTTTAAATTAAAAAAAGAAAAGAAAGAAATGGAATAGTCGAGGAGCAATCACGTTGAATCTTGAAAAAAATAGAGGGCATTTACATATTTTGACAATTTATTTGAGCGATAAAGTGGTTAATCAAGTTATCGGGAAGATAAATGATCTTGTAGAACTCTCTCCTACTCATGTGTACACATATCTCTAATAAAGTTATTACATAGATGTAAAACTTGATTTTTTTATAGATCCATATTAAATTTAACGATAATTATTTGAGATCCTACAAGGAGTGGGTTTTATATGGTCGTTTATCTACGAAAAATATGATTATAACAATTTTGGTATTCAAGAAATGGACTGTAATTTTCAAGGGTAACAAACTCACTACTGTGGGTCCCATTTCCGCTTTAAGGACGACAGCTGAATTAGGATTGGGATCCCGTGATGCACGAAAATCTAGTCCCCCATAAATACCGAAATGACAAAAGTAACCCTACATGGTACTGATTCCCCCAAAAAAAAAAAAAAAAAAAACCCTAAAGCACTGTAACGGACTATAGAGTCATTGAAGAAGCATAGTATTTTGCTTGAGTGAAGCATGACCTCATTATTTCGTAGAGAGAGAAAGAGAGTTCCAATGGACCAACACCTCTCAATTCAGAGAGCAGAGGCAGCTCCACTTTTTCAACACCACTATGATTTTTTAGAGAGATAGAGCGAGAGAGATTACACTAAAAGTCACTATTGAGAGAGAGAGGTGTTGGTAAAGTGGATCCGAAGATATAATGTGGGACTTAGATCAAGATCCGATTGGGTCCGACCCAAAAATCAAAATATTTATATTTTTAAATATATTTTATAAATTGGGACCTACCCAAACTTTGGACCTAGACCCAAATACTGTTTGGGCACAATATTTGAACTTGAACTTGATCAATCGGGTTCAATTTTTGAACCCATACCCGGACCTAGATCGGGTTGGGTCTAGGTCTATTGCAGACCCTATATTTTGAGAGAGATAGAGACCTCCACCATAATAAGGATAAAAAGATGAGAACATGAAATGTTGAAACTGTATGGGATACAATAAACTGCATAAATTTGGCCCGTGAGTATGCCAAAAAATAGAAAAAGGGCTAAATCCATTGAACATTTTAGAGAGAGAGTGAACAATGGGGTAATTTGATTAGGGTATTATTTTGGATGGGAGGAGCATGAAATACAAGAAATTTGGGCTGATAGAGGAAAGAAGCAAATGGTGTGAAAGACACATTGTTCTTTTTCCTGTTTTTGGAAGCTTATATTGGATCACGTGAAAGGCAGACTTTGCCTGTCTCTACTACAAAACAGGACACTGTCCTTATTCCTTAGGGAACACATACATACGAATTCATTTTTTTTTAGAGAGGGAGAGAAGGGGGAGAACTCCATTATCATTTTAGGGCTCCCATTCATACGTATCCAAGCAAAACCAAAAGAGAGGAGAGAGAAAGTGAGGGGAGGGAGGAAAGAAAAGCATCAACCATAAATTAATTACTGCTAGAAGAGGGAGATTGATGGTACCATCTTTTTAGCATACTCATCAAGAACAAAAAAAAAAAAGAAAAAAGAAGAAAAAAAGAAAGGGCAGCATACTCACCAAGGAAAAACAAAAAAAGAAAAAAAAAAAGAAAGAAAAAAAAAGAAGGGCAGGCAAAGAAAGAAGGAGCAAAAGAGAGAATTCTATTTTGAGGTTCATTCAAAACTAACCTCTATGAAAGCAACAGACAAAATAGAGTGAGGGAGCCCAATAATTTTTTTTTTTTTTAACATAAACTATATAGATTCATCCTACTTCAATGCACGACGTCTAGTGCGCGAAACAAACTTCTATCTTGAGCTCTTTTTAAAACTACCGTTTCACCAAAAAAAGGGCAAAACAAACTTTTATTTTGAGCTCCCATTAAAACTACCATTACCAAAGAAAGAAAGAGAGAGAAAGAAATGAAAGAGAAAGTTTCTTCTCTCCTTTTGGGCTTAATTGGTAAGAGCGTATTCTCTCTCTCATCATACCAAGCGGTGGGCATGGCATCAAGCAATTTACGCACAGTGAAGCAAAGGATATTCCTGCTATTTCTCTCAAACTCGATTGCTAAAATTCCTACGGGCTCTCCACTTTTGTAGGTTCCTGTCATTTAGCACAAAGTCACGGGCATTTTCCTGACATAAATCTCCTGACAACTGAGCCCTTTCTGACGGTGCTACCGACAAGCTAACGGTCCTTTAACGGCGAAACCCACTACACTATTAACACCCATGCTATTGCTATAATAACACCATTTTTTTTTATACTAAACGCTGGTAACGTCGAGAAATATAGGTGCGAATAATGATATCCTGACAATTGTATAACCGACCGTAACGTGTCAACGGGGACGGAAACGCGTCTGTCGGCTGATGTGGTGACTAGGGGCTTCCTAGCTCACGACGTGTCAAGTTTCGACGGTGAGATTAAGGCCACGTGACAGTTTTAGCCGGTGGGCCCTGCCAGCCTGGCAGAAATTAATTGGACAGATCGTAACCGTAGTTACGTGTTTGATGTTAACTATAGTTAGACATTGGGTCAGCTGGTCTCCCGTCCATTCCTGAACGTATACAAACTCACTGACGTCGTCTCACCGCCATTCTCGGGTTACTGAGTTGTCGGAATTCCATTTCCCGGCATAAATCGCCGGCAATCATTGAGGAAATTTTATTTGCGGCGAAGTCTAGGAGGAAACAGCCGGAATATTCTGAGATTGTTTTCATAATCACATTTTAGTTGGCTTTTCATCACCGGTACCTCACCGAAATTTGATTTTCTGGCAACTTTGTGGGTACCGTTTCACGGAAATGGCCGAAGTCTGCTGAGGACGCCACTAAAATCCCACTTCCCGTCTTGTTTTGGCAGGAAATCAACCGGAACTCTGCCGGAATTCGTATTTTCCGGTACTTTGAATCACGACTCGGTAGAGTACACCTGAAACTCTGTTCGTACGGCATTTTTCGGCGGGATTCTCACCGGAATGTTAAAAGCTTGAAGCTTTAAACTTTACTTTTGTGACTGTAATTGGTCTGCATTTGTGTTTTCTGGCGTCTAGATCTTGCTGGATTTGAAAGCACTTTGGAGTTCTTTGTTCTTTTCGTCATCTTCGCCGGATTTTTGATTTTCTGGCCTACAGATCTCCGGAGAATAGAAAACGGGGGATTTTGAGGTAATGTGGTACCAGAAAGGGAAACTGCTGATATCTCGTTGAATTTTTGCTGTGGCCGGAAAACGCTTGTTTTGTTTGATGATTTTTTATATTTTCCAGCTGCTTATTCAGAGACTTTGAGGGGATATCAGGATTGGTTACTATTTTCTGTAGATTACACAGGATTCAAGAGGCTCTTAATTGTTTTTTAAAATGATGAATACCAGGTCATAGGGCATTAAAATTTTCAGACTATTTAGCGAAGGATCAAGACGGAAACATAGCTGACATTCACCTGCATTGGCTTGAAAATGTCGTGAATGAGAGGTTTTAGAGGGATTCGTAATCCTTTTATTTAATGATGGATACAGAATGGTGGAAAGTTCGATGCATTCTCTAAGTGAGGATCTGAGCACTTCAATCTGCTAATTTTGGGACGATATTGTAACTTTATAAATTTTGGTGGAAAGCTCGGGGATTGAAAAATTAGTTTTTTCTAAGTGTCATTCTCTTCGAGACCGAGAATTTGGTGATAAAATCCTCCAATAAGTTTGAGATTTTAGGTTTCTGGTTAGTGGTCTTGTTTCATGAAGCGTTAATGCATTTAGGTTGAAAACCTAGAAGAATAGTATTTGGTCAGCTTTCTAGTTTTTCTTCTTATCATTCCTTGAAGGTTTAAGGCAGACACCAATCTTGAGGCCTCCGTATTTTCTGTATTCTCGCTGCTCTTTGGGCATCAAAGAAAGAGAAAGGTTTGGAGAAAACGATCTCTGTTACATTGGGTAATTCAGGTTCCTTAACCGTTTGGTTTACATTCTTTTTTAGCATTAGATGATCGGTTATTATTGGTTTATTGAAAATAGAGAGTTGATGAAGCCTTGTTTTACTCTTCCAATTTCGGTTTTCTTGCCATTGCAGCTCTTCTCGACCATTGATTCAATGTCACAGGCCTTCGTTTTATTGTCCCAAAGAACTAATGAGTCAATTTTATGGTTCAAACCCTAGAAAATTAACACCCCCCCCCCCCCCATTTAGGGCAGGCATTGAAGTAGTGGTTTTTTAGTTTTTCAGGTATAGCTTTCGCATGTCGTCAGTTACAGTGGCTTAACCCCGTGAAATTGTATAAGTTACGTACACAACTGGATTGCTTTATGAGCCACAATCATCAGAGAATAAGAATTGGGATGGTTGATGAGATTTATGGGGAGATGCATGTATAAAGATGTGCAGATTAGAGAGAAGTGAAGGTGTAGACTACGTTGTTAACTGCAGTGGTAGGGCTAAACAAAGGCCAATGGGTTTGAAGACTTTGGGTGATATCAAATCAGAGAAGCAAAGGAATTCGACTATCCCTAGGTCACGAATGCAGGTTTGGATGATTCGTGCTACCACCATGATTTTGCTGTGGACTTGTATGGTTCAGTTGACAGCTTTGGGGGAGATATGGGGTCCTCGTGTTCTTAAAGGGTGGCCTTCTTGTTTTATGGCTTCTGAAACAGAGCCTTCGAGAGTGGATCAGGTGGTTCTCCCCAAGAAGATTGTGCTTCCTCCCAAAAGTAAGCTCTTTCATTCCTCCCCCACCCCCCCCCCCCTTTATTTCTTTGTGGTTCTTGCCTTCTTGTATTTATGTCCATTTTTTGTTGAATTCAGATGGTTGCGTTAGCTGTGATTATCTTTGGAATATGGTTATTTGTTGGAAGTTAGCGATGAAGGAGTACTGAGATGATTGTGCTTTATGCATAATATGTGATTTTATTTCTCCCATTTTTTGGTTTGTTTTGTTGGTTTTGAAGGCATTTTGATGTCTATGATACATACGTGTTTAGAAACTGAGGAACAGCATGTTGCTAGAAGCTTTTGTTCCCTGTTTTGTCTTTGCCTAATTAATGCAAAATCTCTTATAATCATATAGAAAGAAACTCTGCTTCCTCCAATAAACAAAATCCTTGTGCTCTTTCTCCTTGTTTTTTCCACATTTCTTCCCATTGTGGACATCTGTAGGATTTATTTTTTTTCTAAGACCTAAGTTCCATGAAAATGTCTCCTGCATTTGTAGTCGGCTCCTAGAAGCCACAAGATGGAAGATGTGGCTTCCATGATTGTGCAATAACAATGTCAAAAGACATAATTTTTGGATGCCGTTCCTTCCATGCCAAAGGGTGGAAGCCGCAGCTTCCATGATTGGTGGAAGCCGCAGCTTCCATGATTTGTGGAACCAATCAAACATACCCTTACTGATTGGGAGGAAAGTATTCCTAAATATTAGGATGTCCAAGACCCACAATTCAAACTCATGTCCTTTTGAATGTTAGAGAGCTGATGAACCTGTATGAGCCATTTGCAGAATTGGCCTCTTAAGGACTTTCTGAATGATGCTATGTTTGGCGTTTCTTTCTTCTGCAAGCCCAATCAATTTGTTACTGCACTTTCCATAAGACATGCTTGGTACTTCTTTTTGTAAAGATTTTCTTTTGATTATGAAATTTGTGCATTCCACTTTTGTGACTAAATGAAAAGGGAAAGTGTACCACAAACATTTTGTGTGCAGTATATTATTCCCAATAAGGGGATCCATTGCCAGTTCTCACCATGGATGATGAATATATAGTTATATACCATAATACCATAGGGATATATTAGCTTGAAACTGCTGTCATCTCCACTGTCCAGCTTAAGAATTGGTCTCTTGATGATCTTCCTTTGTGTATTACTATATTGTACTTAGAATGTGTATGATATACTTTCTTCTAGAAATGGTTTCAGGTTATGAGTATTTCTAGTGTTGTATTCCAGCTGTGATTGGATATTCATTTGGAACTTCCATGCATTGCTTATTAACAAGCCTTTAGACAATGTAGTTCCTAGGATTCACATAGTGAGCGCAGACTACACTTTGTCATGGTTTTACATCATTGGCGACTTCTGTGCCTGATGCATTTAATGATTGAGTGCCAGAATGATTAATGCCTTTTGGAACATGTTTTTGAGTGTTGGGTTGCCCCTGTATGGTAGCAATTCATTTGAATAGCAGTTTGGTTTTATTCATCTGAACACATGGTCCAAATGTAGATTTGTGAAGTACACAATGGATGGTTATGAAAAGTCCTTTGTGAAAGCCTTACACTGCTTTACATGTATAATGACTTATTTTTTCTATTTATTATTTATTTTGCGAATTAAATGTAAAAAACACTGTCTGTTTAGATTGAAGGCATCTCTCTGGTATTTAGGCAATTGAGGCCTTGATTCATTGTGTCAACTGTTTCCTACTTTGTATTATAGTTCATCAGCTAGAGATGTGCATCTTGACTTGATGAGTTGCATAAGGCTCTAGTCTGTGCCCTGAGTCATTTAGCCTAGTCTACTGATCCTTTGAGTGAACTTGCCTACTGATGTGACATGAGACTTGAAGCTGGGCGATTTTTAACAGCTGTTCTTAGTCTCTAGCGAACTGGCACGATGTTTCTTGAAATTCACCCATGTCCCCAGCTAACTTGATCAGCCATCCCGAGTCTTAGGTGTTCTTATGCTCAATTCTATGTCTTAGGAGACCTACCTGGCAACTTATTAATTTGAGTAAACTACGCATGATCCAAGTGAATTCTTTGAATTTTGACTCAGGTTTATGTAAAGGTTCGTGGTATTTGATGGTAATGTTCCATCATCCATGATACTTAGCTTTGTTGCCTATGAGCTCTTCTTAACAAGGGTTTCCTTGGATTATCTTAGCTCGTTGAATTCATGCTCCACAAGTTCTTTTCAAAACTAGTCATTATTGATTAGGGAAGTCTCATCATATGTTCTAACCTCTGAACACCTTTTCTCGATTCTTTTTTTTTGTGAATTCCAATTGGCATAGGTGTACAAGCTGAAAATTTGCTGTTATCTGATGGAATTATTAATGATTGTATGTGATAACATGTATTTTTCCATATGTGATGTGCTTTACAAAAGATAAAAAGGGAGTGATTATATTTCATAAAATGGTAAAGCTGTTCTGAGTGAGTTTCCTGGTTAATCTCTCAAACAGGCCATTGAATCTTCTATCTAGCAATGTTGTTGGTGTTACCACTGTGTTTTGTATTAATTGTGTAGCACTGGAGTTAAACAAACCCAATTGCAGTATTGTGGCACAAACTGTTCGACCAGTGTAGAGGGCCAGTGGATCTATAATCTAGCTATTATTTCATGTTTGCATTATGAACCATAGTACGTGAACTTATTCAATATAAATATGCTTATAGTTTCGTTATTCTTTTGCATGTTGAATTTGGTTGTTGACCTTGATGACATCTGATTTTCATGATACAATTTTATAGGGATTTACAAGAACAACGGTTACCTTATGGTTTCATGTAATGGAGGTCTTAATCAAATGCGAGCAGCGGTAAGTGTTCAACTATTTGCTGTCCTTTAAGGTGTTGCTTTTGTTCATTATTTGCAAGACTCGATGTTCATGGGAAAGCAAACTTACGTTCTGCACTAGGTATTTTGTGAACTAGCAAATCTGATTTTGAACCACATTTAACAGATTTGTGACATGGTGGCAATAGCAAGATATTTGAATGTGACATTAATAGTGCCAGAGCTAGACAAAAGCTCTTTCTGGGCAGATCCAAGGTAGAGTATTTACTCGATGTACATTGTTAAGAATGAAATTTACAACTCTTGCATTAAATCTATGGTGTTCTCTGATATTGAACTTTTTGCAGCGAATTTGAGGATATATTTGATGTGGATCATTTTATTACCTCATTGAGGGATGAGGTTAGGATATTGAAGGAACTACCCCCCAGGCTAAAGAGAAGGGCAGAACTAGGAATGGTCTATTCTATGCCACCCATTAGTTGGTCAAACATATCCTACTATCTTCATCAGGTTAGTCTCTACTTCGTTGACATAAAATCAAATACACTCATTACCTAATGATCAAATTGTAGTGTTTGGTGTGGTAACCTTGTGGTTGAATTCTTAGAATTTCTTTTAGGATGCCTGGTCTCTCAGAATTTGAAAGGTTATTGCCGAGTTCGTGACTCATTGGAGTCACTTTTACTGCCCTACATTACCGTCATCTCATCTTCTAGCCGCAACATAACTTAACTTCCAGAAAAATAAAGAATGACTAGCTTATGTTAATGTTAAAAACTTTTCTCTTTATGAAAATAATGAGGTGAGCAAATAATCTTTTTGGTAAACAGATTCTCCCCTTGATTCAAAAGTACAAGATTGTGCATTTGAACAAGACTGACTCGAGGTTAGCAAATAATGGCTTGCCATTGAAGATCCAACGCCTTAGGTGCCGTGTCAACTACAGTGCTTTAAGGTTCACATCACAGATTGAGGAGTTGGGTCGAAAGGTTATCAGACTATTGAGGCAAAGTGGCCCTTTCGTGGTTCTCCATCTTCGTTATGAAATGGATATGTTAGCATTCTCTGGGTGTACACATGGATGCATCAATGTAGAAGTGGAGGAGTTAACACGAATGAGGTGATCCTCTTTTCCATATTTCCTAAATTGTTTTTTATTTTCTACTACTCGAGCCTTGTTTCTCTTCATAGGTTTAAATATAAAAATACAAATAGAGAGATTGGGGGATATTGGACCCCTCTCTCTCTCTGTATATATATATAGTTTAAGCTATTACCTGTTTCATGAATTTTCGAAAGCATAATGCAATGGTAAACTTGATAAATTAGTGACTTCTTAAATAGGTATGCCTACCCATGGTGGAAAGAGAAAGTCATAAACTCCGACATGAAAAGAAAAGACGGGTTGTGCCCTTTAACACCAGAAGAGATAGCCCTTGTTCTCAGGGCCCTCGACTTTGACAGAAATGTGCGGATCTATATTGCTGCAGGGGAAATATATGGCGGGCAAAAGAGAATGTCTAGCCTTTCTACAGCATATCCCAATATTGTTAGTGACTTAGTTCCAATCTCTCTCTGTCTGTCAATGTGTGCATGTGTGTGGAGAAGAGAATTATACTTTTGCTAAGTTGATGTTTTGTGCATAACAGGTGAGGAAGGAGATGTTGTTGGAACCATCAGACTTGCAGTTGTTTCAGAATCATTCGTCTCAGATGGCGGCTCTGGATTACATGGTCTCATTAGAGAGCGATGTCTTTATACCTACATATGATGGAAATATGGCCAAAGTTGTAGAGGGCCACCGCAGGTACATTTCTTGCACTCCCTTGTTTCTTTTGCCAGTGTGTGGTAGTATGTGTTCATTTTCCTACAAGCGTTTCTGTTCCCCTTAATTTGTCTTCCTTTATCGGGTGTGGTAGTATGTGTTCATTTTCCTACAAGCATTTCTGATCCCCTTAACTTGTCTTCCTTTGTCTTGTATGATTTTGAAGCTCTCTCTCTCTCTCTCTCTAACACAAACGTTTGATGCCACTCTAAGGTGGGGCTTGGTTTTAAAGGAACCGTTCATTTCTCATATGAATTTCTCTAGGAAAATCTCTCTTCCCCTGCTCCCCCCCTTCTCCTTTTCTCCAAGGAACACACAATGCTGCGCTTAGTGAGGTTCTGTTTGACAGTGACCCATTTTTCTCATTCGAATAAATTGTACGGCTCTCTCTCTCTCTAACGAACATACATGGTGCTGCGATTTGTGAGGTTCTGTTTGCCAGTAACCCAATTTCTCATTTGAATAAATTGTACAGGTTTCTCTCTCACTCACTCTCTCTCTCTCACATAAACCAGGAATTGAATTTGGAATTCCTTACTCTAAAGAACTTGTGAATTTGATACTGCAGATTCTTAGGGTTCAGGAAGACGATATTGTTGGATCGCAAGCTCATAGTTGAGCTAGTAGACCAATACAATAATGGCTCCTTGGGCTGGGATGAATTCTCCTCTGCCATCAAGGAAACCCACTCCAATCGCATGGGGAAGCCATCAAAAAGGGTAGTAATTCCAGAAAGACCAAAGGAAGAAGATTATTTCTATTCCAACCCACAAGAGTGTTTGATCGATAGCCCTCAAATTTCAGAGATATAGATAGCTCCACCTTTCCTCTCTAATTATTTGCATGAAATGCAGATCAAGTATCCTCTCTCATCATATGGGGGTGGCAAAGGGATTGGATTGACGATGCAATTGAGGAAAGGGGAGAGAGAGAGAGAGAGGTGGGTTGGGTGATTCTTCAGTACGCAGCTGATACCTACTTATATATGTGTTATTTACGTTCAAATAATTCTCTTTGTACAGTACTCTGCACATTGCAGGAAAAAGGATCGGCTGCCTGTATTACAACAGCTAAGTCCGAAGAGAGAGAGCGAGAGAGAAATGATCATGTTCCTATTTGAAGGTTGGTTATTGGAATATGCATAGATCATCTGATTTTTTGTATTCGACTTTGCCTTTTGTTTCTTTGTTACGTTTATACATTTTATTATCGAGTAAAGATTAGAAATAGAAAATATAAATCTTGAGATGACAAAATACGTAGGGTCATTGAGAGTACGTAAAAATTCCTTGTGGGCTAATCAACTCTCAACATTTGTATCTTCTCTTATAGTTTTAATAAAGCTCACCAAACGTAAAGATATAAATATATGACAGTTATTCCAAATTAGTGAAGAATCTCATTTTAACCGAGAGTTCCCAAGCCTAAAAGTACCAACAATTCATTAACAATTTGCTGCTGGAAATGCAATATCTCACCGTAAGCTTCATGGAAAGTTGTCAATTTGAAAGATTGAATACTTCAAATTGAGAGTTGCTCAACCTGAATTACCAACAATTCACATTTTAATAATGTAACTCAATTGATATTGGCTGCCAACAATGCAATATCTCATCTTGAAATGGACTGGTCAATTTGAGGCATCAAAATGGATCAGACTACCTTTCCTGAATAGACCATACAATGTTTCCTTGGATATCGTCGTGGATATCATTTAAAAAGGAAAGAGAAATTTAATACACTTAGAATATTAAATATTAGATACTTTACAATAGGTGCACTTTGGATAAATTTGAAAAGCCCATCTCAAGGCCACTTGAAAATTGATCCAAATAATAATGAGCTATTTGAAATTTGATCAGAAAATATATATTAAATACTTCGATCTGAAGTGTAGTTTGATAGATTTTGCAAAAGGAAATCAAAACTATGTTGACGGTATAGGTATGATCTTGCTAGCCATTGGATCTTGAAGTTCCTAGATGTAAAGCAATATAAGTGGTATTTCTAAGTAGCAATTTATAGGGTTCAATCTTGATCCAACGGCTCATCTGACCAGATCATGCTTTTCCTAAATACGATGAATGAGAAAAAGAGTAGCCTCTAGAGAAAATCCACATCACAAGGACAATAAATCAAAACAAAAAAAAAGATATACTCCTCCCTTTTGCGCAAATCAAATTAACAAAAACCTAAAATAATAAGTACAAAAAAAGAAGAAACAAACTTACCTTATAAACTACGTCCATGATATTTTCCAACTATTTTCTTACATCCACGGGAATAGGGTGGATCGATATGTCAAAATCATCCAAACCGCACTAGATTGACATTACCATACCTCAGGAAGAAGATCTTGAAAAATTGAAAGAGAACCCATGTATAATGTTTGTTTTGAGGAGAAATAAATGAAATAAATATTGGTTACAATTTTAGGAAAGAAAAGTAGCATTCCATTGACGCTCTGTGGGACTCTTGATTTTGGAAATAGCTCGTATGTTAAGCTCCAATGGGAGAGCATGTAGTGTGCATCTACTTCTTTGGCGAGAAGATCTAGTTGGGAGGTTTGTTTTTTAATCTGAAATTTTGGGAAACTATTTTTTTTCAATTGCATCGAGGGTGCAATTAGGAAATTGTTTTATTGAGGTTACTATATAGATTGAAGAGGTTACATCTCCAAAATTTAGGGTCCTAAAATAGATCTTAGATGGGGTTTTAACTAAGGGAGTAAATGGACAATGTTCTTTGGAGTATAAAATCTTTTGAATTTTGATTTCTTTTGAAAAAAATTTTAGGCTTCTTGCATGGTCCAAGAAAATATACATATAAGGCCACCAAAAAGAGTGGAAGAACCACTATAGTGGTGGACAAAATATTTTTCCCAGTAAAAGATACTCTAGTCCTCATATCATGCCCACTATCATCATTTCCATCCCCATCTCTTCGCTTAAAACCCAAACTAGACTTGGCAAAGGGCTGGGCAGCTCAGTCCTAAAAAAGTAGGGCTTGGGCCACAGAATGTGGCCCGAAGAGCTAGGGCAATTGCCAATCTGGTTCGAACTAGTCGGCCCTCTGTTTTTTCTTGTGTTTTCTTTTATTTTTGGCCCAGCCCATTGCCACCCTTAATCCAAAGTTGTACGTGCCCATCTTGAGTTCTCTCCATGTTACAAAGCTAGCAATCTCTCTCTCTCACATTGTGGATGGAAGCCCCATCTCTCTAGGAGAATGTTCCCATTCTCCTATTGCCATGTCAAAAGCCACCTTAATAAAGCAACATCATAGGACCACTTAGAATCAATGAACTAAATAACTAAGGACATATTTGACAAGTGGAAGTTTCTGGAAGTGGGAGTTAAATATCTCACTTCCATGTTTGATATTACTGTGTGGAAGCTGCAACGTGGAATGGTGACCTTCCATGCAGCTTTTTTTAGGTGTTAAAATAGGTCCATTTTTGGAAGACCTCTCTTCCATAAAAAATTATGGAAGGGCAGTCTTCTATAATTTATAGGAGAGTCCCTTCCATTCTCAAAAACTCCATATGTCAAACACACCCTAAAGGTTCAGGTTTGCACAAAGCGTCCACCTTAAACAAACTAAGGATAGTGAATATTGTTGAGAGATCTAATTTCGGTGTTGGGAATTTCAATAATGGCCTAAAAATATATGTTATATCTAATTATAAAATTTAAAACTCAAAAAAATGATGTTGATCGAATAAATCTATAAACACTTAAAAATCTTGAAAATGAACATTGTAGATAATATATCACAAGATCCACCATCTTTAGTACTCAAATTCGTCTTTTTATTTTCACATCCGTTTTTGAAGTCAAGATAATCAATTGAGGGATTTTTCCACATCATAATAACCTTTTTTGATGAATTTTTAAGGTGTCTTACTTCTTCGATATAAGATTGAGACCTCATCTAAGCTTTTTTCCATAATTAAAAGACACCACAGGTATTGGCCAATGTCTAGGAGCTTCGAGTTGTATACGCGGAGGTAGAAGAATAATTTCTTTTGAATTAGAGGGTGTCCTATAGCAAATCGCCTCCCAAAGGAGGTTATGAGATACACCATTATTTGGATAGATCAATTACAGTTTTGCAGCTCAAAAAACTTGGATTCAAGTTTTATTTTTTTAAAAAAAACCTTGGTTTCCATTGCGGGGCGTCTGAAAGGAACATAGATTGTCCATGTCGAATGGATCAGAGAAAACAGGGTTCCCCTTCGCAGTATATAAGCCAAAATTGATTATTGTTCTTATATGATTCAAACTATAGATTGAAAGCCTGATAATGTCCAAAAAAATAGAATATAAGCCAAAATTGATTATTGTTCTTATATGATTCAAACTATAGATTGAGAGTCCAAAAAATAGAATAACGAATCGGTTGTTAACTGAAAAATACTCTTTGAGAAAGTTTTTTCCTGCTTGATTACTGCTTTCATGTATTTGCTTTTTGGAAAAAACTGTTTTACACGAAAAATGCTTTCCTGGCTTTTTCTTGCATTTTATGTATTCCTGTGAGAGCAGCTTCATATGCATTTAGGTGTCTAAGCGCATTACCAGGCTGATGAGCAAGTTTTCTCGATGAATAAATATTCCCACGCACGTGAAAAGGAAAGAAATATGTCTAGCATGTTAAAGTGTCAAGTAAAAATAACATAGGGATTGTTTACAAAGAGACCACTTATCTTTTATACATGGAATCACAATCATTTTAAATCATTAGATGTCAAAATGGATGACTTGGGATGAGTCACGAATCTGAGATTTTTTTTTTAGAACTTTGTATCCTGTCCATGACATCCTTACAACCATCCACTTTGAAATATAAAGGACAAGAATGATGATGACATCTATATACAAAAGATAAAGGGTGCAGTTTCTGTAAGGTTGCAACCTTAAACAATCCAATTAAGCGCACCGGCAAATTTTATCATAACATGGAGTATTGGTGTAAAAAATTCTTAGGATTATTTGACAATCTATTTTCATTTCTTATTATAAAATTTTAAAATCGAAAAATGGTTGAAATCAAGTAAATCTATAAACATATGGAAATCTTGAAAAATGGACGGTTTAGATAATATGTTGCAAGATGTACTATTTCTAAGACTCAATTTGTTTTTTCTTTTTCCATATTTATACATCTCAATATTGAGATGATCAATTAGAAGGTTTTTCATTCTGAATTTTATCAGTTCTTGAGATGATCATTTTCACTATGACCATGTGGATCATATTTTTTGGACCATGGATCAGGCTAGGTGGCCCTTGGATGAGGCAAAATAAGAAATGATAGAATTTAGAATGAATATATTTAAAAGAACTTAACTGAAGCTTCAATGGGCGATAAGATGAGAGAGCTAGATTTAAGTAGGCTGACTATATAGTGTGTACAACACTAGTTAAGAGGCGAGATTTAGTTCAAGTGTAAGGTTATAAAAAAGCAAAGGGAATGACCAAAAAGACATGAATGAAAGTAATAAGAAAAGATATGGCGACGTATAGTTTTACAATGGTCTTACCAAGGTATGACTCTTGATAGAGTAAAATGACAAAATAAGATTTGTATAGCCAACGTAAAATAGTTCGAGTAAGACTCGGATAATGATGATAATGGATGAGGTTGATTCAATCTAAACCATTAAAACAAGCACCTTTCAAGCAACCAAAATATATGTGAACGCAATACCAACCCTTGTGCAATTCTGCTTACTCCAGAAGAAAGCAATATAGCATATGAACTATTTAACTCTCCCTACTCATAATCCCTGTCTTTTGAAAAAGGGAAGTTTATGTAAAGGAAAAAGTTTATATAAGGATGCTACCTTATAATGTAGAACTACGGATGCCCCTCAAAAATCCATCGAAAAAGGTAGTTTTAACGTTGAAAATCCCTTTGATTGATCATCTCGACATCGAGATGACTATGAAAAATAAAAAGATTTTAAGTCTTTAAAATAGTGCATTTTACAACATATAATCTACACCGTCCATTTTCAAGATTTTCATATGTTTATAAATCTACTTAATTTTAACTATTTTAGAAATTTAAAATTTTATAATTAGCTATAAAAATAGATTTCGACATAATCCTAATAACATTTTACATCAAAATTATATACCATGATAAAATTTGAAAGGCCCTTTACCTCTACACCTATTGAGGCGTCCGTATGCAAACTGCACCTTTATGTAAATTTCCCTTTGATTAGATTAAAATTTTGGGAAATTTACATAACTATCACCTATATTTTTTGAAATCTAAAAATCTCTAATAATTTATGTTTTACATTTATGTCTCACTTTTTTAGAGCGCATCTAGCACTTTGAATTTATTTTTTCTCTAATTAGGTCGAGTTCAAAATTTGTGTTCCCACATTTCTCACGACCACACATTTGTCAAAATAAAAAAATAATTAAATAAAAATAACATGACCAAAATAATCATTGAAAATATAGGGGCATTCTAGTTATCTTATTATTTCAAATTTTTACATTTAACACTTTTTTACATGCGCATGATGTCAAAAAGTATGAACACCTAAAAAATGAGCTTAATCTAATGTATAAAAAAAATAAAAACTAAAATATCATATGTAATTAAAAAATAGATATTGTCGTCGTCATCACCATTATCACCTTATTTTAATTATTTGGGGTCGACTACATAAATCATGTTCTGTCATTCTGCTCATAGGATCCAAATTCATGACAAGATTTGAAAAAACTTTATACTGGCTTACCTACTTAACACAACCCTCATCTTTTACTTAGGCTTAAAACGGGCATGACGGCTTGGCCAGCCAAAGCGGAGTTATACATATGACACAAAAAAGGACATATGCTAAGAATGTGAAATATTGTGGACATGCTTTAAAGTCATATATTAACATGATACTGAGGACATGCTTTTAAATGTAGATATTAACATGGAAAAGTATAGAATGAAACCATTTACATTTCATACAACATGGTTGCAACTAATCTTAACAATTAGGTGTGAAATTAGTTAGTTGCATTTATTCCATTGACTAAACTCAAACTTTAAAATTTTTTTTTTTTAAACTTTGTAACACACCCAACCGATCAAATTTCACATTGAATTGTTCAAATTTCACATTAGATGGTTATAAACAATTGTGATCCCATTGTATAAAAACTTTTCCTACTTTTTTTTAAACTAAATAAAAAAATAAAAAATATTAAATAACACATTTCTTGGCTATATGTTTTGACAACTTTCACTAAATAACTCTCGAACTCACCAAAGACACATGGCGGCACTTCGCCCTTGCTCTCTTCCCTTCTTATCTTCCACTCTCTCTCCAAAACCAATCTCTCTCCTCCAATCCCAAACCCACATTCTCTCTCGAAAAGCTCCATTAAAACACCGAATCAGAAGACGCAAGAATCATGGCCACGAGAGAGCCTCTCTAATGGTGGTAGCTCAAGCCAAAGGCAACAACTCCATTGACACCCCAGACCGAGTAATCTCAGCTGTCTGTTACTTTTACCCATTCTTTGATGGAATTCAATATGGAAAATATGTTATAACCCAGTTCTCAGCTATTGAAATACTATTACAGCCTCTTGTACCAGCAATTAGGATCTTTAAGGCCTTTCCCTTAAATGGGTTCTTGGTTTTCTTGGCCCTTTACTTTGCAGTGGTGAGAAACCCAAGTTTTAGCAGGTATGTGAGGTATAACACCATGCAAGCCATTGTTCTTGATGTGCTCCTCATTTTCCCCGACCTTCTAGAGAGAAGTTTTTCCCCAAAAGATGGGTTGGGGCTAGATGTGGTGATGAGCTTGGATAGCACTGTTTTTCTCTTTCTGCTGGTTTGTTTGGTATATGGTTCTGGTTCTTGCTTGTTGGGTCAATTGCCAAGGTTGCCATTGGTTGCAGAAGCAGCTGATAGGCAGGTGCCTTAGAAAAGACTGGATCTTTTATAGTGTTTTTGGTTCCTGGTTTTAGATTGAGCAACACCAATTTTCTTATTACTCATTTTGGATGGTTTAGTTTTTATGTACTGATAAAGTGGTAATGCAACTTCAAGTTTCTTATTACTCATTTTGGATGGTGTGATTTTTACGTACCGATAAAGTGGTAATGCAATTGTAGCTATTGGATATGTTTTAGTTTTCCTTTTTTTATTTTTTATTTTTATCTTCTCAATTCCTTATGGTGGTTTCTTTTTGCTATTGTTGGATTGGGATGGAAGAATGGTTCATGGGAGTGTAGCAATTGGGGTTATTGTGACTTTAAATCTCTGGCTAGTGATTTATTAAATTATATGTACACCATGTTACCATTTATTTGCAGCATTGTTTTTGAGTTATCATGAAATTTTGCGATTGATCGTATTTCATCAACTGCGTTTACATATACATATGATTTAGCTTCTGATTCTCAATATATGGGAACTTACCCACTTTTTGTTGGTCAATAGAAATGATAATGGTCCTCTGGAATTTGTTCGTATTCTTGATGCTCTCTCTAATTCTGATTTTGGGTTTTCAAGGAATTGTTTGAACTGTTCCTCAAATAAACTGTTGAGGGTTTCGTTCAAGTATCCATACTAGAAAAGGTTGTCTATTCTTCATTTGAAGTATGTGCAAACTGCAACAATTATGGTGGCTTTGTTGGTATGTTAGGATGCTTGTAGATGATTTCATTATTCTCTTTTGCACTGATTATCTAATTGTCAGATCAGCTCTGGTGTCTTTAGTCTACTAATCTACCAAAGGATATTGTCATAAAAAGATGTGGGATGATGAAGATGAATGACTCACAGACCTATGCTAGAACTATTTTTTAGTCATTTAAACAAACACTTGAATCCAATTTATACATGTCAAAAATTAACTATTGCTACACGTTAAACAAGATATAATGTGAGAAGCGGTTTATAAAGGATTGGTTTCGAGTACTTTTTTCCATGTCCCTGCGAATTTTCATAATCAAGCTATCACATTGTAAACCATCACATTGCTCGAATCTTTTGAATTGCTTCAAGAAACTGTAGATAAGTAAATCTGGAAATACACCACGGAGCTACGCCACTCTAATGAAAGCCATTTGTTACCCTATGCAATGCATCTGCAACAACAGAAAGACGCTTGTACTGCATTTACTAATAACTCCGGGAAGAGTAGGATGATATAATGTTTCCTTGTGCAATGATAGAAATTCCTCTATTAAGATGCTCAAGATGAGAAATTTTTGTTCCTTAAAAGTTAATCAAAGGAACAAAGTAGTTGCTTGGATAACCTTACTTTGCTATACCAACTAACATTAGATATGACTTCCACTAACAAGAGATCTATTTGAAATGTGAACTCTATAGAGACTGTTTGATCGCATCCATCCTAAACCTTGTCAAGTTGGATCCTAGTCTCTTCTAGCTATTTTAGGACAATATCAATGTGACAAAAGTAGTCCATACCATGCACATACATTATCATCATCATCCAATCTATAATATTGGGAGCTTTCCCGAGTCCATCTTTACAAGCACCTCGAGCTCCCATTCTTATGTTGAGAAATGATGTCCTTCTGCGCCACTCAGTGACCAAAACTCTTATTTGTTTAGAAAGCTCACCTGCCTCAGCCAATCCAGTGGGCCAATTTTTGGATGAAAAACTCTCAGGATGTAATTGGTTTTGCTTTAAATCTAACTTTCTATGATAATTTGACAAAACCATGGCCCCTTCCGACGTGATATTGTTGAAATATGAGTAAGGGGATGTGCTAGGTTTGATTCCGGTACATATGCATTTCTCTATTAAAAATGTCGTGAAAATTTGTAGAACTCCCTGAGTTTTTCTCTGTAAATTATTTAAGGCAGTGAATTAACTTGGTTTTCGCAGTGACCAAATCGGCCACCAAGACTAAGTTTAACGCCTTCTACATTTGCATTTGAGTCATTGATATAGCCATTGATACAGACATAACCTTTTTTACGACCTCAAAAATAGTTTTATGTAAGAGTTTTCAAAATATGGATATCGACAAGAGACTATTCTTCGTTTGGACTATATGTCACGGTCTCTGACTGAATTCTTCTGGGTCCTCTTCTTCAGGATCTGTCTCTTCTGCTAGATCCACTTCACTGAAGTGTAGGTACTGATTGGTATGTAGTGGTGATGATTGGAGAACAACCTCATCCACCTTTTAGTAAGATGAATGAAATTAGTGTAGCATGGTTTTGATTCAGTAATCTAAGCATTTGGGACACTGCATAGAATATGCGCCTTGTAATGCCTCTACCAAACACCATACATCATTTCAAAGCCTCATACTATGACTTTTTTTAACTCTATTCTGCCCCTATTAACATTTTTCAAATTTGACTTCTCTTTCAACCCTATTCGGGATCCATCTCCTTGGAAATAATGATTTCTGCCACTGCAAAACATCTGTAGAGAGCACATGCATGTGGGATAAACTTGAAGTTGCCAACAAATTTGAAGATCTTCAGAGACTGTTTAATGCAGGGAACAAGCACATGCATGTGGGATAAACTTGAAGTTGCCAACAAATTTGAAGATCTTCAGAGACTGTTTAATGCAGGGAACAGAGAGCGCAGGTGGGTGTTGAGATATACCAACTCATGATTGTTGTACTATTTTATACCAACTCATGATTGTTGTACTCTTTTCTTCTCCTTGCTCTCATGTTTCTTGTTAAATGTAATTAATATGATGCTCCTTCCATCCCATACCAGTAGTGTTCTTCTACTTTGTGCTGCACCTCATTAGGATAATTCCCTTTGGGGAGTGTGGGTGCAATGGCTGTTTATGTACTCTTGAGGTCTCTCTCTCTGCATTAGACGATCCCCTTGTAAACTTGTTTGAGATTAAAACCTCCCTCTTTTCCCCATCTGCAAAGCATTTGGCCATGGACTTATCAGTGCACTGGTCTTTTATATAGGATATACTGTCATTATCCATTCAAAGTCACATCTTAGATCCTTCTCGATTATAACTTAGATCCTTTACAATTTAGGATTAGCTGGCTCGTGTAGCACTAATCACAATGTTTATGATCATCTGTAAATCGTCCTCGATCCTATATGAAATAACAAAACACTATACAGACAAGTGAAAGATTTCTTTCAGAAAACAAGTGAAAAATCCAAAGAAGAAAGAAATATGGCAAAGTGTTTATTATCCTCAACAATGTTGCTTAGCAAAGAAAAATAAAAAAAGAACGAAAATAATGATTCTTGGTATTCAATAATTTCTCTCATGACAATCACAGGCACAGATTCATCAGGGATAATGTTAAAAACCCTCACCCCGATTTGCCCAAAAACAAAATAAAGAAAACAAAAAAATTGCTCCAGAGTGCTACATTGGCTTCTTGTATCTGCAGAAGCTTCGGGTGATGAATACAAATGAATGAATAATGGTTTGCTGGTCATCCCAACAAACAGTAACCAGAGTATGTACACAGCCTCGATCATAATCGAAGCTGTTCCCACTCTTCGGGCCCTATATTGTCACCTTTCGACATGTTATAATACAGATTGAATAAATGAAGACCGTTGTCTGGAATCCGGCTATTTATAGCCAGTGTCCAGCAAATGACATATGGTTCCCAAAGGATCTAACCCACAATGGCCATAAGAGTAGCCCTTAGAGTTGTGGAATTTGCACTATACATGTGCTGCCTAAGCTGCTTCAGCTAGCAATCCCTTTCTTTCTTTGGCCTCTTTTGAGGATGCTCCGAGTCTCCTCCACTGCTTGTTGGCCTTGAATGCTCTGTTATCAGATTACTTGTTGAGGGCTCCTCATGGTCCTATCACAGGGAATCAGCGACTGATGAAACTACTAGTTCTCAACATGTGTGCTCTAGATAATTTAGAACATTAAAAAGAGTAGAAACACAAGGCAAAGAAAAAGAGGGTTTGCAGGATTTAACAAAAAAGGATCTAAGAACAAGCAACTGGGAATTCGGAATAAATAGTATCAACAACTACATCAAAAGGAGTAAAATACATAAAAAAGTATACAAAATAGACAACTTAAAAGAATTAAGAGCAAAATGAAAAGTAGAATTGAGGGGAAAAAACAACGGAAGCAATGACAAAGAATGCAAAAGTGAAGCCAAATTAGCAAAAGAATGAGATATAGAGGGAGGAGGGTTGAAGATTAATCCACCTAATCCAACCATAAGTTATTCTTATATAAACACATGTTTGGGCATGGTTTATGATTTGTTACAATTAAGTATGGTTCTTAATTTTAACTTGTGAATGCGAGTTTGTTGAACAATTCCAAGCAGAATCATTCTAGAAGTGTCCATCTTTTGAAATCTTCAGAGAATTACGTCACACAAACATACACATATAAAGGTACATGTGAGTGTATGCTGTCTCACATGAGGAGACTACGTTATTACGGAATCAAAAAGAAAAAAAAAAAAAAAATATTCACTGATTGATGCACTTGTTAGAAGTATTGCTTTTCTTTAATTCCAAACCTTGGCACTGGAAGTAGTTGTTGATGGCCTACTTCCACGCTTTCCGAGATCAATCTGCACTGAGATGCTTGCTTGTGACAGATCTAGCCCAGAGCTCTGCAGAGCCTGTGTTAGAGTACCCAACAACCTGTACCAGCAAGAGAAAAAGACTTAAAATATCTTGTGAACAATTAAGATAGAACGAGCTAGCTCGTTCACCTTCTTGATTTTTGTCATTTGCTCTAAGTGCCTGATTCGCACTTATTTGTGATATCTGAGTAGCTGGTCACGTGGCTCCTGTTACATCCATGGTTTAATGCTGTGCTCAGTGGTGCATGTATTTTTTTTGCTGGTCAAAAAGAAAGAAAATATTTGGATGATCTTTAACATTCAACACTTCAATTTTGCCATGTGATTGGTGCCCACACTTTGTCAGACTGCTGATCTTTTTGGAGTTTGGTCGTTTACTTTTAAAATGACTTTCTTTCTTGTTGTTCGTTATTCTTTTAAAGAAATTCAAGAAAAAATGTTGTCTTTATTTATAGGGAGATGAATTGCTATTCATACCAAGAGCATGGTGTCATGGCTGAGGCCTTAAATGCTGTGAGAAGCCATACCATATTTTACCTTGCTTGAAGAAATTATTGAAATCAAAAAAAGAAAGATATACTCACCCTTGAGAATAGACACTTGATACACTGATGATGCCTCCTTCAATACCTAATTCTTCTTGCTCATTCCCTGAAGAATGTGGACCGTCTATCTTCCGATCACTGGGACCTGTTTTTTGTTGAGGTTGAGGTTGAGGTTGAGGTTGAGGTGGGGTTGCTGCCCTTTCGGCATCCGATATTAGTCTCTGTTGTGTTTGCATTGTGGCCCTTCCGTATTGTGAGTACATGTGCTGCTGCAAAGAAAGAGGCACAGCAACAGGTTTGCATGGTGTAACACCCATACGCTCCTTTTCCTTATAAGGAGTTGCATACCCTGGAGAGGCTGTGTTATGAGTCTCTGGTTGGGGAGAACTATGGGAATTGGGGGCAATTATTGAAGGAGCAGTATTGCTAAACGAGCTGTTCATTTTAGGTTGAGAATGTTCAGCTGCATTTTCTCCCTGCCCTTGGCCCTTCTGTTCCAAAATGGATCATTATAAATATCATTAGGTCTTTGTTGTCCAATCATTCTCGGAATGTTTCATAACTTTGCTAAAGTTTGAATTTGCAAAGTGAAGAGTCTAGTTCATTACCCAGGCCATTATTTTCATCTTGTCCTGATTCCATCCTTGGTATGATGACTCATACTTTTGTACCTTCTCTTGCAAAAGCTGGATGTATTCAATGACCTGCGGCCATATACAGCTTGAAGATGATTCGTTTCATTGGATGTCAATGTAAAATAGTCTTAAGGCCACTAGGTGGTAAATATGTTATATGTAATGTTCATAATCATAACAGTGTCCTATGTACCTCCAATAGGAATGATGCCTTGTCCCTTTTCTGATCACTGTGTGGCACAAGATCTCTCAATATCTGGAATCTGCAGACAATACATAAAGCCGATTACATACACACACATTTTAAAAATTCTTACTTAGATCATAATGTAAATAATTCACTGCCATTGTCACAGCGCATTATTGTGGTATGCAATTTAGAGAACTTGTGAACTGGGTTCAATTAGGAATGCAACTGATTTCTTTGTCAGTCTTTAAATATGACTCATGTTGACTTGGAAACAACTCAATCAATATGGATACATACTTCACAAATGTGCCTGTGTGCTTGTGTGTGCATGCATGTGTGGAATGGATCCTAAAAGTAATGCGTAAAACAAGAGTAGCCATATCCTTTCCAAACGAACAAGACGAACCCAAATTCGGCACACCTCAAACCTTTCCCATTGTTTTTTTAGGTCATTTGCCTCTTTTTCCTTCATCCATATCCCAAATCTTTCACCTCCTCGAGGAGAGTGAAATCCCAAGTCAAGCAGCTAAATGATCCAATACTAGAGGGGCTCTGATCCCGCTATTAGTAGCTCGAGAGTATCCAGAAATTTTCCTCCCAACATCTATGATCTTCCAAATGCCTTCTGTCCACCATAGCCTTTCTGAGGCTTATTTATATACCTCTCTCTCGTAAATTTCTCTCCCAAATCTCGATCCACTAAACTCAATTCCTGTCTCATGGACCAAACATATAACTTTAACACAAATCTCTCCTCTCCAAGGTCCAAAGAAGTACTGGGGTACACCCTCCAACCTTCACTGAAACAATTTCCAGCCCTGAGAAAAACTGAAAATTTCAGTTTTTGAGGATATGCTGAAAGCTTCCCGGGTTGCCATTTGCAACTAGCACTAAGTTTTGCCAGGAAATCTTTAATGATAATAATAACCATGATGGTAATAGCATCCGTGGATTGGAGATGAAATCACAAAGAATCATATGATGATTTGTTTTGCTATCTAACAATGGTGATGGTCTTATCTTTATACAATAACAAGTTAAGTGGGTAATGATTAAAAACAGGAAGGTATAGACAGGTAAAATACATGGTTGGACAAATGACAAAACATGAGGATATCTTATGTGAATCCAATTGGACTTGCCTGTCATTGATTTTGCTCCTCCTGCGCTGTTCGGTAGCAGAGTGCTTAGACCTTGGTGTGTTAGCTCTTTGATCAATGTGTTTTGCATCTACTTTTACCAGCAAGTCCCCTGCAGTAGCACATAGACAAGATATTTATGTAAAATATCCTGATTGAAACCAATATATTTTTAATTAAAACTCATGAGAGGTTTGGTAAGAACTGACAAAATGGAAATATAGACGATTCCTTTCTTGAGGCATGATCTACATCTCAGATCTTAAAGATAGTTCCACATATCAGCATTAAGTCCTCCATTCCCAATCATTGCATTTGGGAGTGTAGCAATCATTGGGGGGTGACAGAGCTATTAGTGCCAACTGCTTTACTTGACTTTTATTGTGGGTGTTAAAAGTGGCAAAATGGTTCTTGCAACGGTCTCGACACGAACCCTTAATCCAAGGAAAGGGCAAAGGAGACAATGGGCTTCAGAGTCTCAGACCAATTAGCCTGGTTAGAGCCTGTATAAGATTGGTGCTGAGGTCTTAATTGTGAGATTGAGCGAGGTGTTTAGGAATTCTGATTTCCACAAGCCTAATTACCTTTATAAAAAGAAAAATCTTGCATTGTATGTGATTGACTCTTGGCTGCCAGGATTCTAAACAAAAGAATTTGGACCATGGCTTGTATGCAAGATTGACATGGAAAGTGCTTAAACATTAAATATCGATATAGATTGGATTCCCTAAAGCTATATGCTTGGATGGGTTGCTTTGGCTGCAGATGGAGGCAATGGATAAGAGATTCCATTTGATGGCACTCTTTCTATCCTAGTTTTTAATCACCTAAGGATTCTTCCACTTTTTGAGGTGCCAAGGCAAGTAATTATTGTATTCCCATTTCTCTTTGACCACTATGCCTGGGGCCTAGAGTCGCTTGATGAGAAGGGCTGAGGGAGCAGTCTTATTGAAGGTCTCCCTGCAGTTTGCAGATGACCCATTGGTCGGGTCCCAATGAAAAGTGATTTTAGGTAAGATATGACATAGTAGTGTCCTTTGCCAATCACCTTGGCCTGTCACTACGTATGAACGGTCCTTTGGGGTCAGTTAGTAGTTGAAATGTTTTGAGTCAGAGAAACATCCAAGGTTGAGATGCTGATAATTGGATGGTAAGAGTGGAAAAAATGGGTTATGCTGCAATTATTAAATGAACTTTAGAAGGAATCAAGGCAAAAGTGGGGATTGAAGCATGGACTGACAAAGCTACTGGACTGCATGCTCAAATCTACAAATAAACTATACTGAAAAATGTTTGCATTCCAGATCCTGAAGTGAAAAGACATATTGTTCAGCTACAATGGCAGAAGATATCTATGAAATCTCACTTCTCAAAGCAGTCATGGAGATTTTTCCAGTAAGTTGGAGATTTGGTTTAATTGGTAAACAAAAATTGGCCTGCCTTCCAATGACTACGTGATTCATTGAATGAAAACACTTTTCGTAATTTTTTGTGTAGTTAATGAAAGGCACTTCAAATATAACTGATGCAGAATCGTTGCAATAATTTTGAGGGGCATGTAAAGCATACCTTTGTGGGAAGAGCTCTCTTTCCTGTTATCTCTATTGCGGTCCATATGCTCTTCCTCATCATCATCATCATCTTCTGAGGTCCCCTTAACCGATTTTACAATCTCCACAAATCCTTGAGAGTTCTGAGGCCGTTGCCTGCAATAGTTATTCCAACATGAATTTAAACTTAGTGTAATGTAAAATAAAGGCAACAGCTTTCTTCAGGCATTTGTGTAATGTGACCTAGATCTCCCAAATGTGTCTCCCTGTCACTCTCAGGGTTTCTTCTTCTCCTTTTTCCTGAAGGAACTTTGAACTTGCAATTTTTTATATAAAATGTGGCTGAAACTTTTTCCTGGATGAACAGGACCAATGCTTTTTATATGTCAAATGATTAAATCTGTTGCATTTCATACTAGCAAATCTATTCATCATTCTGTTGTTAAGTTTAAAGATACATTGCCCTCCTTAGTCTTTGCATTGTGAACTTCAGAAGAAACATGAGTCTACAATGGTCATGATGCCTGTTGCTAGAAAAGTCAGTTAAAATTTTGGATTGAATACTTTCATATAATTTGAATGAAATCCCCTATGTTCAATCATACTGCATGGGGAGCATAATACTTAATTTTTGGGAAAATCTGAGGTCATTTCATGAGAAATGGAGTTGTGCATAGTGCTAATGTTGACATTGATGTAAAAGAATCAAAAAAGATATTTCTCCGAGTCCTCATTGTGAATTTCTAGTGATGCAAACCTGTTTTTCCCTGCAGCATGCAACTTCCCATTGTTTCTCAATTCGCATATCCTAGTGAGAGACGAATTAATTTGTTCTACTTGAAAGATATAACGCAAAGAACGCATTGTATGGGTAGCAAAAGGGAGGGCCCCTTTCCTGGAAAGGTGGGCACCCCTTCCCAAATAGAATGCAAAATGCCTCTTGTTAGCAGCTCTTTGCCTGACAGCACAAATGTAATTGGAGACAACAGAGCATCGATCACTAGCACAATGTCATGGATTTGAAGAAAATAATAGATTCTGATCTCTTCCAAAATGTGCTATTAATCCTAACACTTTCAGAGCCACTATAACTTATTCTCAGCATTAATGATGGGATGCATATTTAAAATAAGGAAGCAAACTTACTTGGTTGACGAGGAGGATAGTTGTGTCGTGTCTACCATTGCGCGGCCATAGCCACTCTTTGTAAGGAAAGGCAGGTCAGCTACACCCACCACTGGCCTCTCTGTAGACCAATACCCAGACTTTTCTACATACTCTGAAAGGAAAAGAAGTAAAAGTTTTAATACCTTCATTGAGTTATATGAGCAAAACACTGCAGATGGATCAAGATGCCAAGAAAGAATGATTCGTTTTGTTTAAAGTGACTGATGCTCCTTAGAATCCATATAGCCACTTGATTTTTTTTTTCTTTGTAAATTTTTTTTAGCAAATTGGATGCGATGTACCTTAATTCAGTTCATCAATCAAAAAAGAAAAGATAATTTGAGAATGATGTCCATTTAGTTCTGGGTTATGAACAATTTGAGGAACTTGCAAATCTCCGAATTTTTATAAGGCAAAAATATGGTATAAACACCATTGTCCATCGAGGCCATCGTGGTCCCGAAAGAAATGGATGGCCAGAGAGTGGGATCCACCATCCGATATTGGTGGCTAGCACTCTCATCCATTACCATCCATTGGAATGGAGAGTGATGCTCATTGGATTATACTATAGTTGCCCTCAAACTAATTGAAATGAAAAGGGAAAATTACTAAGCACCCCACCCCTCTAGGTTGGATGTTCTCCTTACGATGCCCCTATTGAAAAGTCATTAACTCAATATCTTTTTATTTTTTATTGACCCCTCAAGGCTAGTTTTCAGCATTAATCATAACAAAAATGCCCTTCTTTCTCTCTCTTTTCTCATTTTTTCTTTCTAGGCCTACATTGTTATTCATATTCATCTCTTTCTAAAAATGTAAATGGGTTAGTTGATTTCTCTCTCTAGAGACATAATGGGTTTGTGATTTACTCAGAGAAAAAATGGAAAAGAGAAAAAACCCAACAAACCTATTTATATTTTTAGGGGGGAAAACCAACAAATATATTCATGCTTTTAGAGAGAGAACTTCAGGGAGAGAGAGCAACAAACCTATTCACAATTTTTAGAGAGAACTTTGAAGAGAAACCAACAAACCTATTTATATTTTTAAAGAGAGAAAGAAAGATGAATATCATGGAAGATATGCTTAGAGAGAAAAAAGAGGAAAGAGAGAAGGAAATATGAATGTTTATGAGAAGAACATCCAACCTGAGGGAGTTTTATTAATTTCCCCAATACCTCTTGTAGGATGTCTCTCTCCCGTTCGATCCACCATCCGGCTATCTGCAACCGCTGATTCTTCCCACAATGTGAATGCACCTCCCCCATAGGAGCTGTTATTAGAAGTATTATCATTATTTCTATCAGATTTTGTCTCAGGATTGTTCAATGGAACCACAACACCTACTGGTTTTTCAACCTTCCCACTACTGCTCTGTGTAAAGGTGGATATGTGGCTAATACTATAAGTTCCAATCCCACCAGGGAGAACATGCTCCACTGATGAAACTTTTCCAAGAGATGCCTCCAACGGGGCGTCTCCTTTAGTGTTGCTCTTTCCTACTTTCTCTAGAGGTTGCAAGAAATCTTGGGTCTTCAAATAACTTGAGAAACCTGGCATAAGACAAGGGGAAATGAAACACATATGCTAATAAAAGTGACCATACAAGATGGATGGTTGCAACCCTAAATTATGAAATAAATAAAGCCAGTTAGCATAATTGATATGAAGTTAAAATAATGACTTCTTATTTGCAA